TAAATTGCAGTCTCTTTACCGCTTTTCACTCTGCATGTTACTTTTTCAGACAACATATCTTCATTTAAAACAGGAGCCTAACTACCTACTTCTAAAATATATTTTAGGATTTTTTTTCCACAGTGAAAAATGAATTTCCAATATCACCATTAAAATGTATAAAAACTTTAAGAAAGGTTCTCATGTCTTATTGTAAATCTAAGTGCTCCTTTTTAAAAACTCACTCCTTAAGTATGGTGGTGCATGCCTGTAATCCCAGAGACTCAGGAGGCTAAGGCAGGAGGGTAGCAAGTTTGAAGCCAGCCTCAACAATTTAGTGAAGCCCTCAGCAACTTAGCAAGACCCAATCTCAAATTTTAAGAAAAATAAATATATATAAAGGACTGGAACAGGGAATATAGCTCAGTGGTAAAGCACCCAAGGGTTCAATCCCCAGTACCCAGTATTAAAAAATAAAAAGTATAAATTTCACTTCTTAAAATTTATATGCAATAAAATCCATTCTTTAGTTTTCAGTTCTATGAGTATTTAAAAATACATAAAGCCTATCCTTTACTTTTTATTTTTTACAAAAGAGTACCAAGTCGGATTAAAAGTGGTTTACCTCAGATTTGTTCACTGAGACTTTGGAAAACAATTTGATTTCACAACATGGTAGGCAAGTTGTGTTTACTCCCAAGTTCACAAAAGTTCAGTTTCACCTGTTGGTTCTTGCTCAATTGCTTGAGTAGGCTCTGATTATCTGTGGATGGCCAGTCCTGGACTGACCCTTTTTACCAGGATCAGAAAGTTCCCTTCTGTTTTTCCTTTTGGAAAAACAAGCCTGGCTTATAGTCTTCCTACAGCTACAGGGCCCAAGCCAAGGACCTTTCTAAACCAGGTACCTTTGTCTGTGGAGTATGTAGAGGGCCTAAAACTCCAATCTCAGAGAGAAGGGTCTGCCATATCTGAGCTACCTTATCTTCCAGAAAGTGTCAAGATTTGATGGCCTAACCTTTGGGCAGTGTAAACCCTTATCCCCTCACTTGGTGAAGGGCAGGAAACACTGAATCATGAGTAATGATATAGTTTTCAAAGTGTATTAAGTCAGCTAAGGGGCTGGAGATGTGGCTCAAGCGGTAGCGCACTCGCCTGGCATGCGTGCGGGTTCGATCCTCAGCACCACATACAAACAAAGATGTTGTGTCTGCCGATAACTAAAAAATAAATATTAAAATTCTCTCACTCTCTCTTAAAAAAAAAACCTAGAACCTTCTAATTTCTCTTTAAAATAAAAAAAAGTCAGCTAAGTATTTAACCATAATATGTTCAACTCTCCATTTGCTCTGAGGTTATGCAGAAAGAAATCCAAATTTTTCATTGATAGAAAATAAAAACTTAGCAATAATGAGCATGTTACCTGATCAAGAGACCAATTACTCAGACCTCACCCAATATAACATCCCTCCTCATCCTGTTTCGATCTTTCTGTTTCCATGAGTAACTTCACAGAAATGGGATGCTAGACTTCATCAAGAAGCTGACCTGTATGGCCAGCCTCTCTGACATAGGTAGGATCCCCAGGTGATACTGATGCTATTGGCCAACTACACTTTGAGAATCATTGCTCTAAATCCATCTAACAATTTAACAATTAAGAAATGCATAAGACAGAGGAAACTGATAATATCATAAAGATGCAGATTTTTTAAATCCAGTCTTTGAAAAATAGTTCTTTCAACAAATAAAATAAAGGAAAATATAAGCATGCAAGAAAGAAGCTAGACACTAAAGGAGACTTAACAGGCACAGAGGAAAGAGTCAAGATGGTGACTCAGTCAGAAAACAAACCTGTCCTGTACATGAGCTAGATCTACCAGATTCTGCCCCAATAAGTGCTACATGTTGAAATCAGGACCAGATACTTAGTCACCTTAAAATTATTTCAAAAGGGAAAATTACCTAAGCCAATTTGGGTATAAAACATCATCATTTGCATGGTTAGATATCAGAACCTTATTGTAGAAAACATTCAGCTACTATATATGGTTACCCAAGAAGATAACCTTCAGAAATCACAAAAGATGTCCAAATCCTGATCAAGATTTAATTTATTTGTTGAAAGAACTATTTTTCAAAGTCCGTATTTTGGGTATAAAACTTCCTTGAGCACCAGTAGAATAATATCCTGGCATTGCTGAGGAAACAGATATTTCAACTTCTACTTTGTAATGTGGTTCCAGGATGACAGTGGGCAGGCATAGTGCTTTCATTCTGCTTTTCATAGTGCCTACATTGGCTTCATAGATCAGAATGATGTCTTTTAGCATCTCCTTACAAAATAATTTCAAGTGGATAAGGCAGGTGAGATGAGAGGCATCTGAGATGTTCCAAAGATCTCAGAAATTGACACTCATCCCAACTTGCATCTGGACTTCAAGGATAGACCATAAAGTTGAGTACAAGAAACACTACAATCAAGCTCTACTACTACAAAGTGTATTAAATACATATGTTAGTCAAGACTTTTTTCTATAGAATTATGGTATATGATATATAGGTTTAGGGAATGATCAGAGCCAGTGGATATTCTCTGAGCCAGTGGATATTCTCAAAGACCTTGCCATGAAGTTCATTAACAAAATGTTGAATTTCCAATGCCAATAGGATGAAAAAAGATTGCATACAAGTTGAAGATATCATCTTGACTTGAAAAGACCCAATGAAGTTTGCTGGACTTGGTTATTATGAATAAAGTAGTGAAACGAACTCAGAAAGCATGAAGCTGATCAGGATCTGGACACCTTTTGTGACTTCTGAAGGTTATCTTCTTGGGTAACTATATACAGTAGCTGAATGTTTTCTACAATAAGGTTCTGATATCTAACCATGCAAATGATGAGTGGAAAAAACAGTTTTTGTGTTTAAAATTTTAGAATGATATTTGAGACTTTAATTGCCTACCTTTATATTACCATACTTGAATTATTTAAGTTTTAAAGACTACATATAAGTTAAAGAACCTTGCAGATCATGCAATTCCTTCTGACTTTTGACCATCTAAATGAAATTGCATTAGGTGCCTGTGTGCCATTATAGGCTAACTACAGCTATTTAATATGTAAACTCTGAATGGCACCAGGGAAATTTGAATATTGGACATTTGATGAATTATTTTAGGTGTGATAATGGTATTTTACCTTTGTATCTTTTAGAAATACTAGAATAAATTCAAATAAAATAATTAAATGATAAAATGTCTGGAATTTGCTTCAAAATAATCTGTAGGGAAAGAACAGAGAGGGGATACAGATGAAATAAGAAACTGCCATGAAATGATAAATACAGTACGCAGAGATTCATAACACTCTATTATCCTTGTTTGTATGTTAAATTTTCCCACAATAAAAAGTAATAAAACACAGGTGAAAGACAAATATTCACTCTGATACTGGTTATTTGAGCAAGAGTAGTTCCCACACCCCCAAATCCCCAGCTTCTGAAGAAGAATGTCCCAGGCTGCTGCTCTGAGGATCTTAGCAGGGCTGAGGTCTGTCCCTGGAAACAATAATGCCTGTTTTGGTTGGCATACATAATACAGATGAAGGGAGGCTGGATGAATGGACACACTTCTCTATATTCATGTAGGAAGAGCCAGCTACATGGAATATAATGCCCACAGAGAAGCAGAGATGCCAATCACCCTTAGACCCTGTGTTCTTCAGGTGTGTTGGGCCCAATTCTCAGGGGCCAAGGTTATCAGTACTATGATACTTGCCCAGTTTGGCATCTGAGCTGTGGAACACACCTTCAGATTCAGCTTAAGGTCAGGGAGGTATCTTAAGCTCAAGATCCCTTCACATTTCCTAGAATTAGCCAGATTTGGATCTCTGTATTGCCCCTACCTTTCTCCCCATTGTAGGACAGCACAAAAAAATGTAAACTGAGCAGGTGAATTCAAATTGTCGGAGGGTAAGGGGAGTATTTCCAAGTTTCATTTCTTGAGATAGGGCCTTGACTTTCTTAGAGTAAGATAAAACAGTGCCAACATGGTAGAAAATAAAATAGTAATCACCGATAGAAACAAGTTGGGGTAACAGGCTATCTATGCTTTCAGGTTCAAAATATGATTTATCTATGTCACATGTACATCTTGGGAATGTGGCTGCTGTATTTCTTTCCTCTAATTTAATATCTCCCAGGTATCCTTTTTTTATTGAGCACCTGGGTACTTGGGTTAGATTCCTTTTTTCTACATGGGCAATCAAAAGAGTATCAAGCAGGGCTGGGGTTGTGGCTCAGCAGTAGAGCACTCATCTAGCACGTGCAAGGCCCTGGGTTTGATCCTCAGCATCACATAAAAATAAATAAATAAAATAAAGGTATTGACAATTAAAAATAAATATTAAAAAAAAAAAAGAGTATCAAGCAATCAGCCAGCTAAACTACACCGAGACTAAGCTCTAAAACACTGGAGTGCTACTCACAGGCCCAATGGGTCCCAACCGTTGAGGTATTTTAGCAAATCTGAGTCAAGACCCAAAAATCTGGTAAAAATTTTAAAGCAGCTTCCTGATTGATACTAATTTGTAATAGGGTTTGGCAGTACCTTTTGAATGTCCATCCTTTCTTACTGGTCTGTTGCTTTAGTTGCTCCTTATTTAGTATATAAATGTTCCCTATGAGAAAGTTGGCTAGGGTGGTGATCACATCATATTCCAGTCCAGAAATTGGACTGAATAGCAGCAGAAGCTCCAAGAAGCAGAGCAGAGCTAGCAGAGTTACATACCCACAATTTAAAAAACTCTAAATGAACTTAAGTGCCTAGCCCTAAATTTAACTCTTTCATCTTGCTCAAAGTAATTTACTGCACATGCATTTGAGGGACACAGCATTCTACTGATCACCACAGAAAGGAGCCCTCAAATGTGACACAGTTGAAGCTTCTTCAGCATTCCTCTCCTTCATTCCTACTTTGAGCCAAATAGCCCAAGTCCCACTCTCAACACCACACAGAAAGCAATGAAGCACAAGTTGCTTTAATCAAGGGGTGAAGTCCTCAATCAGGGGGACCTCACTCAACCTTTGGTGGTGGGGTCTCAGCCTACCCCCCACATGCCCTGAGGCCCCTCAGGAAAGAGGGAGCAGCTGAACAGCAAATTATGGAAAAGACCAGGGGTGGGAATGGGGAAACCCAGGTTAAGGAGCAAGAGCAGGGCGTTGACAGGATGGGAGCGAAGCTGAAGGGGGCAGGAAGAGCTTAACCCACATGGTTCTACCTGGGGGTTGGCTGAAGTGGCTGTGCATTGGGCAGAGTGGCACCAGGAGGGTTGAAGGGGGCAGGGGAAGAAGTGCTTAGGAGATGAGGCGACTGTGAAGCTGGTGCAGCTGCTCCTGGGTCAGTACCAGCCGGTGTCGCTGTCCGAGGCCAGCTGCACATGAGAAGGTCACTTTGCCCATGTAGACTGTGTCATCTTGCTGTTCTTCCTTGGCCTTGGTGAGAGGAATAGGACCCAAGGTCAGGGGTTCACTTAAACTGTGGTTCCCTGAAGGGGTCCCTGAGTATTGACACCAATACAACCCTTGGGAGACTGAAGCCTTGAGCTTTTAGGCCATGGTGACCAAATTTTTCAAATTAGAATGGGGATACATAGTCTGACAAGGGGGTTTTGAGTTCCTACTGTTATCAAAAGTGAAGGGAGAGGGCTGGGGCTGTAGCTCAGTGGCAGAGCACTTGCCTAGCATGTGTGAGGCACTAGATTCGATCGATGCTCAGCACCACATTTAAAAAAATTAAAATTAAATAAAGGCATGCTATCCATCTACTACTATAAAAGATTAAAAAAAAAAAGTCAAGGGAGGGTTGGTGGTGCATGCCTATATAATCCCAGTGGCTCAAGAGGCTGAGGCAGGAGGATCACAAATTAAAAGCCAGTCTCAGCAATTTAGCGAGACCCTGTCTCTAAATATAATACAAAATAGGGTTGGGGATGTGGCTCAGTTGTTGAGTGCCCCTGGGATCAATACCCAATTCTCCTCCACCAAAAAAATCAAGGGAGGTGATATCTGCATGCTAAAACATTAGAATTTTTGGAAGTACTGCAAGCATTTTTGTCTCTTACAAGTAATGGACTTCCAAATAAAACAAGGTTTTGGACCTGAGACTCTAGGTCTCTCCAGATTCTTGAGCCCTCCACACTATGCCACCCTCCATCCCATGCTCCCCCCTTACCCTGAGGAAAGCTGTTGAAGGGAAGGTGGCAAAGTCAGTGGGGACTGTGGCTCCAGGACGCTGAGATACTGTTTCCTTGAGGACCTCATCCTGGGGGAGGGAAAACAAGGGTTTATTTAGGGGACCCTCCACAGGCTTACTTAAGACTTCCTGGTTTCTGAGACACCAATACCAGGGGAGCAGAAGTCCAGTCCTCTCTATTACAATACTTCGGCTTTCACCTCCAACCCCGTCCCCACTCCAATATCTCTCCTTCCTTTATAGATCCTCATCTTTTAAGACCCAATTCAGTTTCCATTGCCTCTGAGAAGCCATGACCAACCAATCTACCCTACGACGATCTCAGTTCTGACTGAAACTGCAGACAGAGTCACACACCCTAAAAATGATCCTAACTTGTGCATTCTGTTGATAAATCTTCTGGGGCTGGGGATATAGCTCAGTTGGTACAGTGCTTGCCTTGCATGTACAAGGCCCTTGGTTCAATCTCCAGCACCACAAAAAAAAAAAAAAGAAAGGAAGGAAGAAAGGAAGGAAGGAAGGAAGGAAGAAAGAAAGAAAAGAAAAAAATATTTATCTTCTGACAGTTTCCAAGGCAAGAAACTGTATTCCCTTCTATGATCTTTCCAATGTGCCATCTAATGCAAGGCTGGGCCAAGAGGAACTCCAGAAGCACCTGGCTCCACCAGTGAAAGCTCTGAATGAGTGCCATAGGGTAGAGAAGGACAGGGTATGAACTGACCTTGAGTTTTTCAATGGTGTCACTCAAGGACTTGAGCTGAGCCACTTGTTCCATAAGCTGGGCTGATGGGCTCTTGGCAGCTATAGGAAGGGAAAGCTAGTTAAGCCCACCTAGAACCAGACAGGAAAGTGGTCTGGATTAAGGGTCAGGAGTGTAGGTACTGGACTTTTTCATGGAACAGGCACTTAAAATGGGTGAATCGGGAAAACTGAACACTAAAGCCAAAGTTCACAGATGGAAGAGCCTCTACTGTTCAGGGACTGCCTCAGCTAGGGCTAAATCCCTGGGGATAAGGAGACAGGCATGTTATTCATCTGAGGGGTCAGTAGTACATACCAGGGCTGGTGCGAGTGATATCTACTACATGAGTGCGCGTGCTCAGCTGATTTAAGGTCTCCAGCAGCTGGCTGGTCTTACGGTACAATGCACCAGCTGCTATCTCACCGCCAGGGCCCTCTTGGGGTGGAAGGGAAAGCTTTGCAACATGCAGAGGGGGTAAGGCTGCCAAGGATGCCTTCATCTGGGCTCCCTGTGGGGATAAAAACAGTGGCAGTGTTGAGAGGTGCCAGAAAAGCCTCTGCCATCCATCAACAATGGGAGGGTATGGTCCACTCTCTACCATAGTCCTCCCTGTGTTTCTCACCTTGAGGATACTGTTCTCATGCTGGAGCTGAGAGATGTGCAGCCTCATGGCAGAGATCTGCTGAAGTAGTAGGGGTGAGTCCTTCACCAGTCCCGGGCCTGGCAAGGACCCTGGAGCCTGTCCAGGAACAACCCCTGTGGATACCATAACAAATGTTCTCAGCCCCAAGTAGAAAGGGCTAAAAACTGGGCCCCATCCCTGCTCTTCCCCTTTCCTCATTCCTTCCCACCTCCAGTCCTGGCTGTCTACAAGGGGAAACCTTACCCTGCTCCACCAGCCCCAGTTCCCACCAGCCCCAATTCCCGCCAGCCCTGGTAAGCCCCAGCCACAGTAGGTTTCTACCTCGCTGCTGTTCTTCTGTGTTCAGGATAGCCCATGGGGGAGCAGGAAAAGAGGAGAGAAGAATTAGGTAATTTGGGGGCTTAGAGGACATACCAGAGGAATCCTGGACATGACCTGCAGGAAAACCCTTTTCCTGATGACCTTACTTTCTATATAAGACCTTGCCCCTCTTCTTGGAGTAAGAGTAGATATGTGTAAAAGAAAGCTCAGGGGCAGGAGGCCATAGTGAGGGTGCAATGTGTGAAAAGAATGGAAAAGTGAATGTCCAGGAGGAAACACATGGGGCATGAAACTGTTCTTGCCTCCCTGCTCCATAATCCATCTCCAAAAACAGCATGGGAAATGCTCCAGACCCCAAAGCTCTGCATCCTTAATGATCTCCTGCAGCAAAGCTTAGATTAAGGTTGTGAGTACATTCTCTTGCACCTCAGGTTTCCCTATTGCTCTGAGACAAAAATTCCATTTTTTTGTTGGTAAATTTCACTAATTCTGAACCAGTGTTTGCTTAAAGAGCCTATGCCAAAATAATACAAGGTGGTAATTCTGAAGACTCCCCACAAAGAACATGGAACTATCTGTATCATAGGAGTCTAATGTCACAAAGGTACTTGGTCATCTCCCAAAATCATAAGGCATCAGTGACAAGGACTTTGATAAGATCAAGACCCTAGGTGAGGTCACCTGATAAGATAGGAGAACAGAAAAAGTTTAGAAGACCTGATGGTTTAATTCCAAGACAAGAAGATTGCCCTCTCTAGGTGAAAAAGGTAAGTAAGAAACTGCAAATACAAACACCTATATACCTGCTATCCAGTTGAAAAAATATTATAAAGGCCCTGTGTATTGTCATATGAATACATGTTCCATTTAAATTTCAAGATAATTTTGTCAATACACCTATATTTTTGATATAGATTATATTCAGTCTATTAACCAATTTGGAGGGCAATTCCACCTTAACAATATTAAGTCTTTTGATCCACAAACTTGGGTTGTTATTTACATCTTCTCTAATATCTGTTAACAATGCTTTATACTCCTTTGTTAAAATTATTCCTAAATTGCTGTTGCCTAGCATGCATGAGGACCTGGGTTAGACTCCCAGCACTGCAAATAAATAAATAAAATAGAAAATTAAAAAAAAAAAGAAACTGAAGGGGGAATGAAAATGACAATAGGTTAGGTGAGAACCAAGATGGTAGCAGTCACTTCCCTACTAGGAAACTGAGAAGACTAGGCCTAGAAGCCAGAAAAACCTCCAGGTAGGGACCCCTGACATTACTGAGTGGGTAGACAAAAGTCAGAACAAAAGTACAAGCAAACTTTGGAGAAATACACAATGGAAGAGATAACCAACATAAAATGAAACCACATGAGCTCAGTGGGGAAATAGCACCCAAACAGAGAGAATAAAAAGCAAGCATCAGGCAAGGGCAGATGCCCTGGGAGGGAAGAGTGCAGCTTCTGGAATATAGGGCTGGGACAGAAATACCAAACAGTATACCCAAAAGGGACAGATACTAGAGTCCAACTGTTTTTATTATTCTGAATGTCACTTGCTAATGTCCTACTTTGATCACAGACACTTTGCAGGTATCTTTAAGAAAAGAAAAAACTTTGTTTCTAACTAGGCAAGCACATTCCTGGATGAACATTCAGGAGAAAGGGGACAGGTGTCAAATGGAAGCCAAAGATAAGAGAGAGGACAGTCAGTTTCCTCTGTGTGATTTCTGCCTATCCCACTGTACTTACCGCCAGCAATGCCAGAGACCAGGGTAGCAATGCCTGAGGGAGGGGGCCCCCGGAGCCCCTCAATTGTGCGCTTAGACTGGCTATTCAGCCGTTGCTTTAGCTCTGCCTTCTCTGCCTCCAGCTGGTCGATGTCAGCCTGTAGTGCATCCATTGTTTCCTCAAACTCTCTGTGAAAGAGAATCTGGGTTGGGGTAGTGTCCCTTCCCCATGTCCCCACATGATTTTTCAGTCCTGAAAAGTCCTTGGGGGTAGCCCTGCTAGTGAGGAGCTAGGGAAAAGGAGGCACAGGCAAGCACAGGTTTAGGTTGGAGTGATATGATGGAGATGGAATGGAGAAGGGAAATGGGTAAAGTCTCATTAGGAGGGAAAAGGGAAAGGGTTAGGGACAGAGTCTCAAGCAGAAGGAAAGGTTGGAGGAAACAGGACCCCAGGGAAGGTGCCTGACTTCTCCTTCTTCCGCAGGAGTGCCTGAGTCTCCTCCAGCCGAGTCTGAACTTTTTCAATGCGCTCGTCTGCATCCTTGGCAGCACTGTCCAACTTCTTCTCCAGGAGGCTCAGCCGCACATTGGCTTCACTCAGCTCCTCTCCCTGAAAAATCAGAGAGGTTGAAGTTCCCTAACATCCTCCCCATGGCCCTGGGGAGATTAGACCATGAGACAGAAAGCTCCCTGATGGCTACCTGACCACAAGCCCCCATTTCTCCCCCATAACCTCCACGCCTTCTCAGTCCTGATCTCAGTCACAATATTTGCAGTTGCCTTGAGTGCCATCATACTTCCTAGCCCCAAAACTCTGAGCAAACTCTACCCTCACCTTAATCTTGAGTGATTTCTTTAATTCCTTGATAACTGTTTCTCGATCTTCAAGCTTCAAACCCAGGCCTTCAGCATCTGTGATCTCAGCACGAAGAGCTGCAGCCCGCAGTTCAACCGGAGGAGGCTAAAGGATTGGGTGGGTCAGAGGGTAGAGCACTGAGAGGAGGGCACCAGTATGCTTCTTTCAGAGTGATCCAGTCACAGGGGAAATCTTCTTGCCTTCTAGGCAGGATATTGTTATTCAGATGCCTTTCTCCTACCTCCTTGCCCTCCCACAACCAGCGGCAGCTCTGTAAGTTGTGCTCCTCTGCACTGCAGCTCCTCCAAAGAAACCTCCACTCACCTTGCTGGGGGGCCGCTCTGCATCATACTCCCCCTCCTGCATGGCTGTGGCCAGCTTGTTCATGGTGCTGATGAGGATGTTACACGACTGGCGCAGACACTCATAGGGGCTGCTGGAAGGGCTCCCATAGATCTGCAGGAGCCAAGGGCAGGAGTGAAAGCCCCACACTGGCCACTAACTCCCCATCCCCTTCTGCCCCACCATCCAGGCCAACCTGCTCGCTTGCTTTGAAAGCCAACTCCTCCAGTGCAGCCACGGGCAGCCCCTCATTTTCTGCCAGTGGGGCAATGAGCTGGGCGGCAGCAGCTGCCACCTCCTGCAGTACAGCCACCACCCATGTCAAGTGTTTTCTGCAGTCTAGGAGTGTGTCAGATACCTGTGTGAAAAGCTAGAGTCAAGAGCCCACCCTAAGTCCCGCAGCAGTTTCTAGCTACCTCAGTTCTGTGCCCTGACCAGGTCAATCTTAACATGTTTGTACCCTCCTGATTTTATTCTGTTTCTTTCCCTTCCCCACTTGCAGCCCTAAACCTGTGGTCCAAAGGCCAGTGCTGCGGGGATCCCAGGAGCATCCGTCCCTGGCATACGCCTTCGGATCTTCTTGCAGAATTGGCGGATATCACTGCATGATGTTTCCAGGTCCCGGAGCAAAAGGGCAATATCTGTAGCCTCCTGTCCACCCTACATGGGAAATAGGAAACGGATGGAAAACCAGGTAAGCCTTAGGACTAGAGGTGAAGCGGTAGGGACTAAGAACAAGAGCTCACACAGATCTAGATGTGTCCTCACCTGCAAGAAGGCACGCAGCCTCCCCACCTCCACGCTCATGCAGTCCAGGGCACTCTGCGTAAACTGTGAGGAGAGAAACAGGTGGTTATCAGCTTTAACAGGAGTTCTTTGCCCCATCATCATCTCTAGGAAGCCCCCATCCTCTAATGACCCCCATATATAAGTGAGTCCTCTGTCTTCCCTGATCTGGCTTTGGTGACCTTGTCCCAATCTTATTTGACACCCACTGGGGCCTGATCTCTTGATCTGATCCTCCACTTCTGAGCCCTATAGGAGGCTCAACCACTGACCCACACACTTCACCTTAATGTGGTCGGCCAGCTGCATGGTACTTTCCTCGGGCTGTTCGGCAAGATGGATGCTGTACAGGTGCTAGAGAAAGATGACAGAAATAGCCTTTAACAAGTGAAAGTGGGGGAAGTTCTTCCCAAACTATTATTTGAGCCCTGGTCATTATAGAAGTCTCAAGAGGTAGGAGAATTCAAAACCCTCAGGCAGCTACATCATAAAGCAAGTTCAACTAAGAGCAAATTGAGCCCTAAGCAGCCAGCTTGGGACATATAACCCTGAATACACTGGCAATGGTTCCCATCTGGAGAAAGCTTCCCTCCCTCCTGCCCCAAGCCTACATATTTTCTACAGACCTGGTAGTACTTGATGGCCTTTGTGAGAGGCTCCACATTGACAGTCTCATCCAGCTGATCCTTATGCAGCAGTTCAATGAGGAAATCTAAGGAGCGCTCATGGGCACTCATCTCAGGATAGAGGCTGCCCACCTTCTTATAAACATCCACGTTGCACTGAGAGAGGGCACTAGAGACCAGAGAAGGGCTGTGTGAGACCAAAGTCTTCCAAGCAATCTCAGTTCCTGTCATTCCTGGACCCATGGTCCTGGAGTAGGAATCAGGAGCCACTTACTGTTCATATCGGTGTAGTGTAGCCTGCAGCAGACTCAGCGAATATACCAGTCCAGCAGCAAAGCTGAGCTGCTCACCTGCAGCTCCTCGAAGCCCAGGCCGCTCTGAACAATTCTCACTTAGTTCAAACTTCTCCTGGGCCTGCTTCCGGATCAGCTCTGCCTATGGGAAGAAGACCAAGGACCTGGAACTCAGAGCAGGGGACGGAGAACACAAACTCAGGAATACAGGATACAGCTTAAGAACTATGTGGGGAGCATGGACACACATAGGAAAGCAGAACTAGTTCTTAAATAGGCTGGAAGTCTCACTGGGGAGAGGGTAATGATGTGAATATTGGTGCTTGTGAGAATTTTAGGATATAAGAATTAAAGGGCAGTGGGACCAAGCTGACTTAAAGCTGCTGCTCCTGATCTCTTTCCACCTAAAATGCCAATTATCCCCCTCTTTAGCTCCTAGCCACCTCTGGCTCTTAGCTTAAATGTTATTCCCTCAGTCACAACCTGCCTCATTTAAATAAGATCCTCAACTGGGCTTTCTCAAATACCCTATCTCTCCTTCATAACACAGAATCTATAATATATCCATCGTTTGTATCTATAGGGGATTGGCTTTAAAAATCCCCACAAATACAATAATCCACGGATGCTTAAATCTCTCTCATTAAATGGGACAGTATTTGCATCTAATCTATGTGCATCCTCCTCTATAGTTCAAATCATCTCTAGATTATTTACAACACCTAATGCAATGTCAATTCTATGCAAATAGTTTTTATATTGTATTTTTCAGGGAATAATGAGAAGAAAAAAAGTCTGTACATGTACAGTACAGATGCAATTTTTTTCACAAATATTTTTTATCTGCAGTTGTTTGAGTTCACAGATGTGGAATCTAAAGATAAGGAGATCAACTGTATATGTTCACATGTGACTTTGTTGTCTGTGTTCCTCTACTACATTTTTGCTATCTGAACTTGGCATCCTCAATGCTTGGCTCTTAGCAAGTCCAAAAGATTTTTATTGTACATATGACTAACTGGCCATACCTTACAAATGAGACGAGGCATGAGCAGCAGCACCAGAACGCAGTCATGGTCCCCACCTGGCCGAAGGAAGCTGTCAGGCATGAAGGCTGTCAGCAGAGACATGTGCCGATTGGCCTGGGCGACCTCCATCTGTCTCAACTCCATTTCAATTGCCTGTGAAATAGACAGGGAGTTGGACTCTCATCTAGAGTCTAAAAATCATTAAACCTTGCTTTACCAGGTCCCTTGCTTTTAAGTTAAGCCCAAGCCAGTAGTCTTCTAAACAACCACACAAGGAACCCCGCTCCCCCAGGATTCTGAAGCACAAAGCCCAAACCAGGCTAGCCCACAGTCATGCCTAGGCTCGGCTCCCTAACACCTGGCTCTCAAGCCACCCACTTTCCTGACCTTGGCATGGGCTTTAGTCTCGGCAAACTTGATTTTGAAGTCAAAAGTCTCAGGAGGTGGCTGCTGCTGTCTCTCTACAGATGCTTCCTGCTGGTTTGTCAGTTCCCGATTCACATCCTAGGAGGAGAAAGAGTAAGGGACGGTGGGGTCAAGGTAACCTAGGGTGATGGTAGGAGAACAAGACTTAGGCAGGCACCTGTAGGTGAGCAGTCAGTTGGCGATATTTTTTGATGGTTTGTTGGTAGTCTGCAACTGTTTCCTGGGCTGCCTCTACACGCTTCTGGGCCTCACGAACCCGGGCACCTGCCATGTCCAGCTGCTCCCGCAGCTCTAGTTCTGTCTCTCGTGCATTCTCCTGGAGCTCATCATTCATCTCATTCATTGCTTCCTGGAATACAATAAGTAGTTAGGGGAAAGCAAAAACAGGGTTAGAGTAGAAGGTGCAGGATAGGTCATCTTACCACACACCCTGTTCAAAGGTCAGGGGTCATGTGTCAATCTCTCTCTCTCAGCAAGTCCCTTACAAATACCCTCCATTAGGGTCAGGAATCTGCTCTTCTCTTACCAAGTCCCCTACAGTCTCCCTCAACTCCCGCACTTTCTCTTCCAGATTCAGGTTCCGATCAGTCAGCATCTCCACCATCTCCTCAGCACCCAGAGCAGCATCCACCTGTGTTATGGGGAAGGAGCCAGGAAAATCACTATCAGAAGGTGACTAGAAAGGGGAAGTGGCAACAGAAGAATAAGGTAAGGGGATTCTAGGCAAGGGCTGGGTTTCACAGACCTGCTCCTTGAGCTCATCAATGGTGCTCTCTGCCTGGCTCAGCTCCTCCTGCAGGCGCTCTCGCTGTTGCCGCACAATCTCCAGCTCTTGGTTTTTCTTTTCCATGAGTTTCTGGAGCTTCACATGTTCCTGCTTCTCTGAGGAAGAAAGATCCCGCATCCTGTAGGAAAGAGAGAGAGGAGAACATGTGTCAGAGTGACCTGCAAGAGGTGCTTTAACACAGTCAGAGGCAGGAGAGTGAAGGCCAGAGCCAAGAATTGAGAAGCCTACCTCACCAAGGCATCCTTTAGGCGGGCATTTTGTTCCTCAAGCTGTTTGAGCTGGTAACTGGATGCAGCCCCATCTGAGCCTGGGGAAGATCATTAATATGTTCAGGCCTGGTCTCACCCCACTACTTGGGCCCTGCAGCTCCTGGCACCTTACCCTTTTTCTTTAATCTCAGCCTTTAGTATCTCCTTACCCTTTTCTTCAATCTCAGCCTTTAGTATCTCCAAGTCTGTGGTGAGCTCATCCACACGCTCCTTCAGTGCTTCAACCTCCTGCTGCAGGGACTCAGCCCGTTCTTCAGCCATTTCCTTATCCAGAGTGGCCATCTCAATGGCATCAGCAGTGTCGGCCATTTCCTCCATATAGCGTTCCTTTGCCTCTAGTGCCTCCTTGGCTTCCTAAGGAGGGGAAAGGGAGGTGGGGGCAGGAGGAAACAAATGCCCTATGTTGTTCTTTCTCACAAGGTACTCCAGGTTGTAGTTCCAGTCCTGTTTCTAATTCACCTCCTTGGGTCCCTCAGCCTCCCCAGCCATCCCTTCCATCCTGATTCCCACCTTCCGCGCCTCCTTGAGGCGCCGCTGCAAGTCTGCCTGCTGCTCCTGCATTTTGCTCTTCCATTCCTGCACCTGCTCCAGTTGGATCTTATGTTTCTCCAGTTCTTTCAGCTTTGCCTTATCTTCTGCCCGCTTTAGCCGCAGGGTCTCCAGTTTCTCCTCCAGGTCCCGTACCTGGGCCCTCAATCCCTCTTCCTCCTGCCAAGAAAAGGTACTGCTATCTATACACAGCCCACCCTGCCTCCCCTGAGACTGAGCTGGAACAGAGAAGATGAAATGTGTGCAAACATAACCCTAATCCCAGAGTCAAAAGCAAGTGGCATACAAGCATTGGAGAGAAAACCATGGTACTATATATACCAGAAAAGTATGAAGAAAGGGCAGGAGGATGGGATATACTTCTGTGATAGAGTGCTTGCCTTATATGTACAAGGAACTGTGTTCAATTTCAATACCTGCCTCCCCCCCCCCAAAAAAAAAAGGAAAGAAAGAAAATCGAAAAGAAAGGAAAAGATAGCTTCTTGGCAATAACAAGATACCTCATACACTATGTTCCCACTCTTTCTGATCCAAGCTAGGTCTTCCCCAACCCCAGGAAATTTCTAAGACCCAGCCAGAAATCACAGACCCCTTGGTATCTTGATTCTCCTTTACCCCCTGCTAGTCCTTACCTTGGATGGGGAAGGAAGTGGGGGAGCTGCTCCAGGAGAGGTGAGGGCTGGTGTGGGGATGATGGGTGCTGCCAGTGGAGTCTGAGCCGGGGTGCTGGGCTCACTGCTGCTTAGCTCACCTGCTGATGCTGAGCCAGAGGGGCCCAAAGAGCTACTGGCCCCAGCCACCCCAGTACTGGCTGGGCGAGTGGGCTATTCAGAGAGAGCAGTGGCAGGCCAGAAAGAGAACAGAGGATGGGGGCAGTGAAAGGGAGAGAGACAGCATGTGAGAATATGGCAAGGTTTAGAGACAAAGAAGGGAAAAGACAGAGTATGGAAGCACAATGAGAACAGAGACACAGTGAAGGGGAGAGGGAAAGCGACACAGTCAGAAAGCAACATTGACAATGGACAGAGGGAGGAAGGAGGGAGGAAAGGATGGGGGAAAACATGAGATTATAAGGTTCCTCCTTTGGCACTAACCCCACATTCCTCCCAGCTCTGGCACTACCCTTTATAGTAGTAGCTCTTACTCCCTAGAACTCTCCTCTGTGACCCACTTGGGATCATTCTAGCAGTTTCTGAATACTCCCAGTCCCATCCTTGCTCTGGGTCTGTGCCCAATTTCCCCAAGGTGGGGGTGCCTCAATGTCATTCCCAGAGAGAAAGAACAGATTAGAATTTGTTCTGATATTCATGTTCCCAGAGAAGGCTGGGCTAAAAGTGGGGGTTTCAGGCTCTCTACCCTTCTTAGGACCTCCTAACTCTTTAGAAGTCAAGCTAAATTGCACTCCCTTGGTCTATGCCAGGATAGCCTACAAATAAAAGAACCAAAGTGAAAATTATAGCCCTAGATTCCTCCTTGAAACAAAGTACATAAGCTAACCCTTCTGTAATCCCCTAAGACAAATGGGTTCTGATCAGGTAACATTACCCAGGTCCCTGTAAGGGCAGAAAACTCAGGAGCCATCCTGAAGCCCCAAGCCCAGGAACAGACAAGCCTTCCCAGTACTCTCCCCAAACTTCCCCTAGTGGGATGACACTCAGAAACCACATGCTACCACGAACACTCCCGATCAAAGGCTTTCAGAGACACATCTCCTTCCTCCGACATTTTATACTGTCAAGTTCTTCACTTCTCTTCTGATCCCTCCCCTCAAAACTGGCCAAAGTTACCTTATTAAAGAAAGCCTGTCCTGATTAACCACAACCCCTTCACTTCTCTTTTGTACTCAATTTTCTGGCTCAGAGGACCTTCTAAGAGCTGGAAGTCATTTTCCCAGGGGAGGCCTGTCACCAACCCCAGGCCCTTCTCCCCCCTCAAAGAGAACCCATGATACTTTGTGATCAAAATTCACTTGCTAGTACACATGCCTACAAACATGCACATGCCTGAAACATTTGTGCACACTCAGCATTGGCTTGCATGGAGGCCTATTTGTTCTCACCTTGGGCCGCCGAGTTGTGGTCTGGACAGGCAACAGGAGCCAGAGAAGTGGTCAGGAAAGAAAGGATAATGGCAGAAAGACAGACAGCAAAGTGACAGCAATGAGAGCAGAAAAGTAATAGGAATGGGGCTACAGTTAGCCACCACCCCCATCCCATCCCCTTCTCCCTCCAGTGAATCATAGAAATTCCAGAAACCCAAAATTCCTATTCCTCTTGGTTCCTGCTCCCAGTTTTGCCCAACCCTTGCAGGCCTCACCCCTTCAGACACCCTGAAATCCCAGAGGTCCCTGTATCCTAGGTTGAGCCACAGGAGACCAAAGGCAGTAGCTGGTGAGAAAGTCTCCAGAGACTAGTCCTTCTGTGCCCAACTCTCCCACTCCAGCCCAGAGTCAGAAGCCCCGCCCAAATATCACTGCAAGGACTTTCCCAGGTCAGGCTCTTTCTTCAACTGCTAGACTCTATAGAGGACTCCCTAGGAACCCAACCCTGCCACCCTCCCGCCATACACACACTATGACAACAGTGATATAAGCTCAAAAGTAAGAGATCAGATATCTAAGGCAGAACAACATTGCTGTCTTCCCTCCCCCTCTCCCCAGGACCAGACCCTGCAGCAGTCCATGTCCCTAAGGCAGAGGGCTCAGGTGTCAGGACTATGAATATTGCATTAGCAGAAGCCCAGAGCTCAGCAAAGTAACCCCACCCAGCTGCACAGAGAAAGGTGGGGGTAGGCAGCAGCACAGGGAAACTACTGTCCTAAACCAAATCCAGAAACCCTTTGGGCTATTGCAAAGTTGTAAATGGGTGATTAACACCAATGGGTATTCTTGCTGCTCAGCGTCTCATTGCTGTGGCAAAGAAGGTAACATTTGGCTTGGGCCCTGTTTCCAAGAGACTCTGAGCCCAAGGAGCCTATCCCTACCCCTCTTACCCTGGACTAAGCTTCCAAAGCTGTGGGTCAAAAACTATTCTAGGCCCCCATTCTGCCCTGTTAAAGCCCCCTGAAACAAACCCCTTGGGAGAGGAGATACTGGGAGAATAACCAAGAGTCATTCTAGCAAAGGCTGAGAAGGTAAGTAGGCACCAAGAAACCTGGGTCTACTTCTCTAGCTTCTACCACAGGAAACTCTCCCAAAGCTTGTTTGTAGTAGAGGCTACATGAAGCCCAAGCCTGTGAAGCCACTGGGTACAAGGCCTGGAACACAGACTGTCAGTGCCAAAAGCAGGCAGGGTAAGAAGAAAATGCCCAGGGGTGGGGCCCGGTGGTGACACACCTCACCTCTGCCTCCCTCTTCTTCACCCTCCTCCCCCAACCAGGTAGACAGATGAAGTCAATCAGCCGCCACCCCCACCCCAGCTGCCTGCTGCCATCATCACCCTGGCAACCCGGTAGCAGGACCAGAGCAAGCAAGAGTACCTTTCGGGCTGTCGGTGCCTGTCTCATCATTGCAGAAAACCAAAGAAAGCACGGAGAGGAAAGAGAAGGAGGGACAGAGGAGGATAGACAAACACAGGGAGGAAGGACAGACGAAGGGAGGGAGGGAGGGAGGGAAAGAGACCGAACAGAGGGAAAGGCGGCGGAGACAGGAGATTAGTGCATCAAATCCCAACAATGCAGCCTTAGCTTCCCCAGCCGGCAGCTTCCTAGCCTCCAAATGGCTGCTGCTGAGACACAGAGGCCCCTGAAGGTGCGCAGTAGGACAACCAGGCTCCAGCAGGCACCAGAACAGCGCCTGGCCCAGTTCGCCAGCTTAGGCTGATGGCAGCCTCAGTGGCCGCAGCACCAGCTCCACCTGACGTCATGCACCCACCCTCCTCTGCTCCATGGGGGTGGAGCCACTTTTTCACCGTCACCTAGCAACCACCCGGGGCCCTGCAGGCTCCGCCTTCTCCTCATGACTGGACACAGTCCTGCGCAGAGCCTGCCTTGCTGCTTCTCCTAAAGAACAGGTTCTGGCTCCGCCCTTCCCTCCCTCTTCCACCCCAGAGGGCTTACTCCAAAACGCTAAGCCAGAGGCCATACCAGAAATGGCACTTTATGGAGCCAGGGCATCAGTGGGCAGGGACAGAGGGCTTCTCTTCTCCATGAGTTTCTCAAAATTGCACTCTGCTCCCCTGACTACTCCATTGAGTCTACTTCTCTTATACATACTGGCAACACCCTTGTTTCCCAGGAACATACACCTAGAGCACTCCTCCAGAACTGGTCTTAAGCTCTGAGGAGCACATAGAATGATTAAAGAGCTCTAGGTGACATTCCATGTGTGCAGCAGCAGCTCTAAAGACAGTGTTGGGCTCCTTTCCAATGGTCCCTTGGTTGTAGTCAGGTTAAAGCCTTTCTCTGAAGGGCTTTCCAGAAAGGTTAGGTATTTTGTGAAAGCATCTGTGTTCTCCTCTCCTCCCCCTTAAAGCACTTTTTTGTTCTATCTCTAGTTCTTTCACATGCAGTGAAAGCAAGGACCCTGACTAAGTAACCTGCCTTGAGAGAACCACTGAGGCTGATGACTGGGAGTGGAGTGGGAGACAGAAGAGGCACACAACTATTTGATTGATACCTTCCACTATGAGAAAAGAAGGTACTATAGCCTAGTACAGGCTCTCTAAGTAAGGCTTTGCCACATCTTCCCAGGATTTGGCAATGCTTAGCCCCTTGCCAGGGTCATGTTAGGTTACAGCCAGAATCTTCCTTAGATCTCAGTTTCATGCCCTTCTCTATTTAGGGGACTGAGGTAAAATGGTCGCCCAATCAGGAGACAATAACCAAGGGACAAAGCCAAGTCTCTCTGATCCTAGTATGGGTCCAGCATCCTTTAAAACATTATTTTCCTTATATCCCCATTTCCACCTGAAGTCAGGACCCAGGACCCAAAACAAGTACCAGTATGTGGTCTCCACCATAGCAAGACTCCAAAGCAAAGACCCATCACCCACCAGGAGTCAGAAAGAAGATGTTTTCCTTTCCTTTCCCACTGCCTTGATCCAGTAGTGCTCCATGCAATATCAGAAAGGCCTGAGGCAGTTTGGTGACAAGGAAATCACAGCATTTTATATCCAGCACAGTATATACACTCAGGCACGTGCAGGTCATAGCTTGGGCACAGGCCCAAGGCAGGAGCTAGTGTGAGGAAGAGGTCATGGCATCAATTTAAGTGTTTAAAAATTGGTGGAGGGGAAAGAAGTTACACAGTTCAGCTCCTGCAAGGGGTGGGGCTTTAGGCACACCCCAGAGGTAGGAAGAGACAGAGAAAGATTAATGGGGCAGATTGGGGTTGGTATTCATGGCACAACACATCAGAGGGAAGGTCCATAAAGACTAGGCTTTCCAACTGCTCTTCCTGTGCTCTATTCTCTACAATCCCATTCCCTTGCACAACATTTATCTGGTACTTTTCCCTGTCCTATTCTTCCAATCTATTCTCCTACCACCCCTGAATTTGGCTAAGAACCCCTGTAAGCCAATAAACTATTTCATGCTGCTATTATTTAAAGTTAAATGCTCAGAATTTCTAACTAGGACTCTGGGGCAGTGAGAAATCATCCCTAATGAATGTTTGCTTGGGCCCAGATACTGCGCCTGATGTCCTTGCACCCCTCAAAGGAACTCTGGAAGCCAAGGCTGTCATTTCCTCTGGCCATCCCAGCCTCAAGGTTACACACACATGCATGCAGCAGCCCAAGGACATGCAGGACAGCAGGAGAGTGGGCTCATGGCCCCCACCCACTCAGGCACAAACAGTAAACACACCACCTTCTTAGGCTTCAGTCCCCGCTGCATGAGGAGTAGGAAAGGGCAAAGTTAGAGAATAGACATCACATTGTGCTAGCTGGCCAGACATTCTGGGTATAGGCATTAATACCAATCAGGCACACACAGGCAAGGGGTAGGTGGACTCAGATCAACATCAAGCCTTAGGTGAGAAGAGGGGTTCCCTCAAAGATCAGCTTCCAGGATATGCACACCCTGTCCTAGAGAAGCTAGAGTTCCACTCCATAGAGAGGTGAGTGGACCCACAACACTCTGCAGAATGGCAGAGGGGAGCTAGGAAGGACCCTTCTGTCCATAGCTGAAAGTAAATGGCAGAGGACCTGGCACTTTACTGCCTCTTATAAATAGGACAACTCCTTCTCCCTCTATCTTCTACCTTATCCTACTCTTAAATGCTTTAGATCTTGGCATCTCTGTGTACCAAAAGGTAGGAAATTAGCTACACTACAGGTCAGATCTGTCCTTTCTATAGCCACTAGCTCAATTCCATTTGACTCTGTACTTCTGGAACCTAATAGTTTTCCCCTGCTATCACTTTTACTCTAGTCAAATGTAGCAACCCATACCCACAAAGCTTCCTTCCCAGGAAGGTTGAAGAGACTAGAAAGCTGCAGTTCTAATTCACCTATTGCTTCTACCTGCCTAGGATTGGGTCTCCCTCCCTCTTTCTCTATACTACTCTCTACTCACACCCCCAAACCACTCACCAGTTTGCTAGTCTTTGCAGCTGTCTCAGCTCCCTCTGTAGAAAGCAAACAGAAACAAAGCATGTGTTTGTATATAGAGCTGGGTCAGAGAATATCATGGTGGGGTACGGGGAGATATAACAAGGAAATATGGTAGTGATGGAAAAATTTCAGTATTCACTATGGCCCCTTGTTAAAGCGGAAAAGAGCTGGGACTTCTGGATATGAGGAGGCAGCTTAAGTGGGTGGTTGTTACCTCTTTTGAGGACTTTTGATGTAGAAGAATCAGGAGTCTCTGGGGAAGTAGTATCTGCTCCATCTTCAAATACCTGGATCTGAAACCACAGAAGACTCAATACAGTCAGACCAAGAATAACTGTAATATGGGCCCCTCCCCAGTCCCCAAACAAGCCACAGTATAGGGCAAGGTTCCTAAGGACAGGTCACCAATCTTCCCTTCACTATTACTTCCCATTCTCCCAACAGAGGCTTATGTCCACACCAAGTGCACATGCAACAGATATATGTGCATGTATGCATGCGCATGTGTGCATGTGCGCGCGCGCACACACACACACACACACACACACACACACACACACAAAGATGGAGTACCTGGGATTGCCGCACAAAAATTCCATGTCCTTCATCACAAGTGAAATACTTCCTTCCTTGGACAGTTCCATCATTTTTGCCCTTTGCTTCATCCAGGATAACGCCTACCCATTTGCCAGTGGCAAAAAGTGTGGCTCCAACATAGGCCACAGTGCCTCGGTGGCCTTTTCCAATCACCTCCACACGGGATCCTACCCGCAGAGGCCGGGCACTTGCCTCTGCACTCATCCTGCTGCCACTGGGCGTCTGAAAAAAAAGGCACACACAGAGTTAGAGGCCTCAGACCAAGGCATCCTAATGCATAAGAAATGCCTCAGCCAAGATCTGGGACTAAAAACAAACAACAACAACAACAAACAATTTTTTCTTGAGCTCCATTCTCGGGGTGAGGTTAGCCCCCAAACTTCCCTTCTGAAAATGTCAGTGATATGACTAAGAGTTAGCCAAATTCTTCTGGAATCTGTTAGAATTTTTAGTTTATATTTAAAATTTATAAAATCAGAATTCATTGATAGATCTGTGAATGTCACCACATGATTACTTTCTCAAGAGCACTGAGATGCCCCTGCACAGAGGAATTAAGCTCAAGCAAATCACTCAGTTTAGACCAGGCTCCCTATAACCAATGCCCTGACTCAGGAGCCCAAGTTGAGTGGGTGACCCTATAGAAGCCTGCTTCCCTCTCCACTTCCATCACTTCTTCAATTCAAATGGCTCTCTCAGGTCTCTCCCCTTCAGAGGCACATAACCGTGTCTCTTTTCAGGACCCCAGGTCATCACCACTTCTTCCTGATCTGATTCCTCTCACTCCCATCCACATACCCACTATGAAACTTCTAATGCCTCACCTGCAACCCATTCAACCATCCAACTTCCTTCTTCATAGCCTGCATTCTGTTGTCTACTCTCTACCCCAAGCTCTGGAGATCCTTTCCCCATGCTATCTTGTTATGAAAAGAAAAATATAGGCCAAGTAAATAACGTACCTCAAATTTGTCCCTTATTCTGTGTTCAGACTCTGCCTAGTGGTTCAAATAGATTTATGGGCACAGATGGGCAAAGCAAAGAAATAGACTAAGATACTGTCCTTGGGAAACTCTCAGCTTCTGACATACCCGTGATGACAAGACACAACATTAAATTAGGTCCCAAATTGGCCTATGGTTTAGAAGAAAATCACACCTAAGCCATTTTTAGCAATAGCAGCTCCATGAACCAGGTCCCTTGTAACAAAAGATATCATGAGGCAAGAAATTACACCATAGTCCTGAAGATTCCACGGGGCTCTCTTCTGATACCCACCACTTGGCTTCAGAACACAGCCCTGCCAGAATCCAAGAAGAATCAGGATACTTCCCAGCCTGTCACTCTCTAACTCCCTTCCCCAGAGAGCTTATCCAGGAAGACAGGGACAGAGCTCCCAAGGGATTCAGGACCCCAAGGACAACAAGGTGTATCTCATAACAAAGGAAACTGCCAGTGACATCAAGACAGACTCAAACTCAGAGACTCCCCTCACCTCCCAACAAGCCTCTCAGAACCAGGAAGACACAACAGTGGGTACAGATTCAATCTGAGACAGAAGAAAGAGAAAGCAAGTGACAAACAACAAAGCAGTTCTAAAGAAGGGCCTCACTTTAAGGCCTTTCTGACCCATCAACCACATTCTGAGTCTCCAAGGTAGTCTGGTCCCCCTCAGGAACCCCTAACCTGGGTACCAGGTAGAGTAGAGGTTAGGCCTTGCCAGTAACCATTAGGGCCCCACTCTAGGTAAGCCTGTGTAGTCTGCCACCATCAGGCTTCAAGGGCTCCTTAGAAACAGTCTGTGGGTGCCTCCAGCTGAGTTCCAGCCTATCTCCCAGCCCCCACAGCAATGATGTCCACAGACACCCAGGCCTTTTCCAGTAGCCCTCCCAGGGCCCATCCCAGATTAGGGCCACTTACCCGGTTATACACGTGCCTCTTGCTCTGGGCCATGCTGCTCACCAGGCCTCTACTCCCTCCCCCAGCTGGCCAAAGACAGAGGAAAAAAAGCAGAAACCTAGGCAGGAGGGTCAGGGCGCTGGGCCCTCATGGACTGACACAGGAACCGTCAAGCACAGCTTTCCCCAGTCCATGGGCCTCACTCAGCTGCCTCCTACCTACCGGGGTAGGGGTGGGGGCAGTGATGGGGGCTGAGGAACAAGTCCCCTCTGCTGCCTGAGGATTCCTGAACCCAGAGATACCGAATCCTGCTTGCCAGCTGATGAGTCTCACTCTGCGCTAGTGCTGCTCTAGACTTGTCAGGAACAGTGCAAGCCTCTGGGTCCTAGTGCTCCCCTGCTTCACCTAGGCCAGACAAGAGGGGCAAGGAACCAAAGACAGGCTCACCCACAGACTCTCAGCATTCACCTCTAGAATATACTGTCTTAGAGTTGGAAGCAGTCTTGACAATTCCTCCTAGCCTGTATCCCCTCACTATCACTTTCCCTCCTGCCCCTGGGCTATGAGACCTCAGCAGCCTCACAAGCATCAAGTAACATTTTAAAATGGTCAGCTACCTAAAGCCTCCACACAGACAAAATAAAGAGTCTCATCTAATCTATGGCTCCCCTGGCTGCAATATGGACCTAGATACCCTGGGCTTAGGGATACTTATCTTCCTTCACTGGCAGAACAGTAACTTCCCCTACGCCACTCTCAAATATAGACCAGATAGCTCAACAACAGAATGATAGCTAAGAGAAAGAAACAGGTCCCTCAAACACCTCTCCATAACTTCAATCCTGACCAGACCCCTAGGAAACCATCTCTCTCCTTCCTTGAAAAATCTCCAAGTTACCACCTTTCTTTAGTCACTATTACACAGGTGGGGAAAGCCAGGCAGGCCCAAACAGTGTGGACTTATGTCTACAGAGCACCTTCAAAACATTTTATAGATACATGGCTAAGTATACTGTTTTTGGACTCAGGTTGCTTTCCTGGTTATATCATAAATTTGGTGTAGTTACTTTAATTTTTGTTTAATAGTACTGGGGATTGAACCCAGGAGCACTCTACCACTGAGTTACATCCATAACCCTTTTCTTTTTATTTTGAGACAGTTACCCAGGCTGGCCTCCAGAATTGTCCTGCCTCGAGCTCCAAAGTTACTGGGATTACAGGTATGCACCATACCGAGTTTGGTCTAGTTATTTAGCATCTTTGTGCCTCGATTTCTGCATCTGTGTCAAGTGGAAACAATCAAAGAATCTATTTCAGAGAGGTATTGTGAGGATTAGCTGAGAAAATCCACATAAAATTTTTAGGACAGTGGCTGGTATTTAATAAGTGGTCAATAAAAGTTAGTTAAGGGCTGGGGGCAGTGGTGCACACCTGAAATCCCAGCAGCTCAGAAAGCTGAGGCAGGAGGATCACCAGTTCAAAACCAGCCTCAGCAAAACTGAGATGCTAAGCAACTTAGTGAGACCCTATCTCTAAATAAAATACAAAATAGGGTTGGGATGTGGTTCAGTGGTCCAGTGCCCCCGAGTTCAATCCCTGGTACCCCCCAAAAAATAATAATAAAGTTAGTTAAGAACATTATCATCATCATAGTTGGACATGGCAATGACCCCACAGATAGGTAGACCAGGGATGATACTGATAAGGAAACAGATTTAGAGAATTAAGCAAATTCCCTGAAATTAAACAGAAGATCAGAAGTGGAACCAAAATCTGACCCAGAGCCCTCTGTGCTTTCTACTGCCTTTCACTGCTCCCATATACATATCTAGGCTTCCAAAGCCATGTAATTCTTCAGACCATGCTGCCTTCAAAAAGTTGGAAGCAGGGGCTGGAGTTGTAGCTCAGTGGTGGAGTGCTTGCCTAGCATGTGTGAGGCACTGGGTTCAATTCTCAGCATCACATATAAATAAATAAAGGTCTACTGACAACTAAATAAAATATATATATTTTTTAAAGTTGGAAGCACCCAGATCTAAGAACAGCCTCATAACACATCTATATATAGTCACTAACTTATTGAGAGCTTTTATTCTATTATATAATGGAAATATATGCCATACCTACATTAGTGTTATATGGACTGAAATTAAGTGCATGGGTTGGGGTTGTGGCTTAGAGGTGGAGCACTCGTCTAGCATGTGTGAGGCATTGGGTTCAGTTCTTAGCACCACATAAAGTAAAATAAAGACACTGTGTCCACCTATAAGTAAAAAATAAATATTAAAAAAAAAGATTAAGTGCACAAAAGTATTTTGTAAAAAGTACCAAAACTGCAGAAGTATGAAGAATTATTACCTGGCAAGATACTAGATGGTATATAAGCCTTAAAATTAAATGCACAAATAATAAATATTATAAGAAACTGCAGATAAAAGTGAACTAGAAAGAAAAGAGGTACATATGAGATTTGGGGAGTACTTTGTGTGTGTGTGTGTGTGTGTGTGTGTGTGTGTGTGTGTGTCTGTGTCTGTGTGGAAAAGGGGCTGACTATGTGGAAAGGAAAGGCCTACAAAGCACTGTAAGCTATGAACAAAGCATGAGTAGAGACTGAAATAATTCTGCTTGAAATATTAAAAGAAGACTAGCTTAGCTGAAGTGAAGAATTCTAGATGAGTCTATCAAACAATAAGCCTTCTGAAGCAGAGCCTACAACTTCTCTTTTTTATGATACGATCATCCTTAGCTCCTAGAGTCAAATATTTATTGAATACATAAACACAGAGATGTACCAGGAGGTAAGTATAGATAGGCAGGGAGTATAACATCAGGCAGAGATGGATGGATTGGATCCAATAACAACAGGAAGCTGGTCTTACTCCTGAGCAGTAGAGTGGCATAGTGAAACTATTTAAGGAAAAATCAAACTGATGGCTTATGCAGGATATAGTGGAGGCAGGTGCAACTTGGCAAAGAGAGGATTACAGTAAGGAGGCTGTTGCAATAATGAACCTTGTTGGTGGGATCTGAATAAATATCATAAGAGAGAAGAAGGGGCCAATTGAAATATAGTACCAAAAGAACCCTGAAAAGGCTCTGTGATGGATCAGACACAAGGAAAGAGACAACAGGCCTGAGCTCTGGAGACAGACCTGGATACAGCTTTGATTCCCGTATTTCCTCACCTGGGCAAGCTATTTAATTTTCTGAGTCCCAGTTATCTGACTTGCAAAAAGGAGGAAATAATGCTACCTCATAGCAATGTTGTATGGAATAAGACTTAATTAAAGAATTTAGCACAAAATATGTGCTCAATAAATTGTAGATATTATCTTCATTATTGCAACTGTATGTGTTGCAATAATGATGACTTACACATGATAGAAACTCAGATGTTGCAAGGAAAAAATGGATAGATGATGAATGTAAAAACTAGTAAATGAATAAAGAAATTGGGAGTTTTCAAGCTTGAGTAAAAACGTAGCAATTAAGACCACAATATTAACAGAACTGGGGAAATGGGAAAGGAAACTGAGCATATTAGATGAGAGAAAATAAGTCTTGTTCTCAGGCTTTCTCTAGGCAAATTTAAATATGTACACTAACATACTTATATTTCACTACCTCCTTCAAATATGAACTGTGAGATTTTTAGTAGTTACAGACTAAGGTTAGTAGAATGCAGGGTAGGGTGAGATTATAAAAAGATAGCCTGAGGGACCCTTGTAGTGATGACACTTCAGAATTTGATGTTAATGTCAATGGCCTGGCTGTGATGCTGTACTACAGTTTTGCAAGATGATAACCATCAGGAGAAACTAATAAGGGTATGTGCAATCTCTCTGTAGTTTCTTACAACTACATGTCAATGTATTCATTATCTCAAAACAATCAAACCAAAAGCCCAAACAGACTCCATTATCTCCACTCTATAGGTGATAGAATTGAAGCTCTGAAGTGAACAACTTGCCCATTTCTAACTGGCCGGAATAATTTCTACCTTGCTTTTACTGGCACCCCAGCATCCCTTGTTACCTTGATCTACTCTTGTCTCACTTGATCCTGGACTAATTCACTATCTACTTTCTTTGATCCCAATCCTGGAGGAGCTGGCTTGAAACCCAGGCAGTCTGATAGCAGGGCAAAACTGTATATATCTAAAAGCACTAGTAACAAAAAAAAACAAGTGTGGATGTTAGCCCCTTGGAAGTCAGAATGGGAAAGGGTCTGCTTACTGTGAGGAGAACAGAGGGTGGGGGACTAAAACTGGATTCTAGAAACCCACAAGAACCCAGGACAATAAGCTTTCAGAGCCTTTTGTTACTCAGTCCCACTCCTTTATCTACCTTATAATCTCATACAATAGAGGACTTCCCTAAATAGACTTCCCTGCCTTTTCAGTTCTTTATTATCCCCCGAAATGCCTGAAGCCCACTCCTAATCTGAATGTAGCTATCCCATTCCCAAAATATTCCTTTCCCTGAGAAAGGCCCAAGGATTTTCAGGCTTACCTCCAAGAGTCAGGAAGGAAAGCTACATAGTACACCTCATTAAACTTCAATATAGAAGCTCTGCAGAAAAGCAAGAGATTTTCAGCCCTATGCTCAAAAACAGTAACACCCCCCCCCACTCCAGTGAGAGCAGAACTTAGCCAGTTTTGAAGTTCCTGATGGTTTCTCCCCCTGAATCAAGTAGCAGGTTCCTGGCACTAGGACCCTGCAGACAGGGAACCCTGAGCCTGCGCTCTAAAGAGAGAGATGCACCATTTCACAACTTCAGCAAAAGCCAAAGCAGCCAACAAAGCCACAGCCACCTCAGCTGTGCTGGGCTCTACTGGATGTGCTGGGCTCTACTGTTTGAGCAGCTCATCGGCCACTCCCCAGAAGCAGATCACTCGGTCTTTCCCTTTTTAAACCCACGTCATCATCTGATCGTAATAGAAATCAATCTCAAATACCATGCAAAGGCGTATCCATGGCAACCTCCAGAGGAAGGACACAGAGATGATGCTCCAGTGGCTGCAGCAGAAAAAGGTAAGACAATTTCTCTTCTATCCATGCTAGTCCACCATTCTCCCCTTTCACTCAAGTCAGGTGTGTATGTTACTTGCAAATCCTATCTATCACACTAACTAGGAAAACACATAAGGTGAGTTAATAATCATTATGTTATTATATAATGTTACAGGTCTGCCTAGTTCCATAAGTGATTGGTAGGAAAAAAATCTTTTTCTGGGTGACAGGATGGGAATAAGTTCTCTCTTCTTATTTACTGTCTCAGGTGTATCAGCCTGCAATACTTGACAAATCACTGTCAGTCACTTGTCTTTCTAATCGGAATGCTGTTGAAATAACTCGGGGATTTCAGAGTTCCCCTACATACTTACAAAAAGATGGCAGCAACACTGACCCCAATGCCCTGCCCATTCATGCCTCTATCATGCTCAGAGACTGGCTCTTAGCAGCCTCAAGGTCCAGAAATCAGGAATTGGAATTAAATTTCTGCCTTGGATGCCTCAAAGAAGAAATTCCATTTCTGCAGAGAAAGGTCTGACAATCATTAGTACTGCCAAGTCTAAGTAATCTTCGATGCCTCAATTTCCCTTTCTGTAATATAGGGTTATAACAAACAATACCTTTTTCTAGGGTATCATTGTAAAAAGCAAATGAGAGTGCCTGAGAAGCACTTAAAAAAGTGCCTGATATATAATACACTCAATATATGATAGCCTTTATTATGAGGAAAGAGGAGGAGAGGCCTATAATGTGGAATTTCAGTCCAAAGGGTATTCTGCACTATTGGAGCTTATCTCAATTCTATTTTCTTTCTCTTTCCTCTGAACAGTTCTTTCAAGCTACTTCTTCCACTTTCAAGTCCCTATTCCTGATGGACCTCATATAAGAGCCCTTATCCCTTAGCAAATAAACTTGTTGAGAAAGAAAACTGAGCCTACTAGGTAAGAATTCCTTTGCAAATTAGATATATCTGCATTCATCATTGCCTCTTTCAATGTAAATTCTATCTTTTCTTCCATCATTTCTCTTCAATGGAAATCATGTACCTCTCTTTTCCAGCCAACCCCTCCACTCTAAGGACCTGATTTAACAATCATCTCCTCTAGTGTCTTCAGTAACACTGCTTCTACTAGCTCTAACACATCATCAGAAGACCATGTTCTTCTAGTTTAGGCAATACTATTTTAGGAAAAACTGAATCTAATCCTTGTCACCTCCTGTGCAAGCCACCACCATCTCTATTCTTCCCTTCCCTGCCTGAAGGGACTACTGAAAGTGAGTATGTATGTACTCCCTATTCTCAGTTCTCATCTATACCGCAATCCACTGCAATCTGGCTCCAACCCTACTACTCTACTGATGTTGTTCACACTTAAAAGAGTTCTAGTGACTACAATCTCCTAACTACTTAAACTCAAAGTTAATTTCCTAAGCACATTCTACTTGACCTCTCTGAAGCAGCCAAAACTGCTAATCACTACTCTGGAATTTTCTCCTTTCCTAGCTTCCTGGGCAATATTCTTTCTTACCTTGAACACCAATCCCTCTCATCTTTGTCCTTTCCATCCTTCCATAAATGTGGCTGTGAGAGTTCACCCATCCCTACAACTTCAACTTCCACCTACACCTACCACCACTCCGAGGCAGAAAGTCTCTGTTGAACCTCAGACCCATATCACTACCTGTCAGCTAAATACCAAACACCATTCAAGTTCAACATGACCCAAAACAGGCTTGATTTCTTCCAACTCAAAGAAGGTTCCTCTTCTATATTCCCTCTTCGCTACTGGCACCACTATCCACCAAAAATAGAAAACTGCATCATCCTCAACAACTCTTTCTTGTTCTCAACAACCAATTAGTCATTCATTACTCAGTTAACTCAGTTAATTCTGTCTCTGCTGTTTCCCTCAGATATGTCCCCCTTCTCTCCAGTTCCACTGACTTAATCCTGAGTTTAGTCCTATATCACATCCATGTTATTACAAGAGCCTCCCAATATCCCTGATCCTGATTTCCACCCTTCATTCGATTTCCACAGATGGCTTCCCAAAATGCAAACATGTCACTCCCTGTCTAAAAACCTTCAGTGGCTTCCCTGCCCACAAAATTGAATCTTCTTAGCACAGCACTATAGACTAATAAAAATCTGGCTTCATCATGAATCCAGTCAAACCAATCACCTCTCCTTTGATCCCCAAATGCTCTTAAGTTCCAGTCACTTGGATCTACTTAACTTTTCCCTTACACCTCTGCAAAATTAAAAATATTACCAGAACCATTCTCCCTCCTTATCCTTCAAGACTCAACTTGGTAATCATCTCATTCCTGAAGACTCTCCTACCTTCTCCATGTAGTTAGTCATTTCCTCCTCTGCCCTCACAACAGCACCTTGGACATACCTTACATAGCACTTTGGACTATACCAAATTTTATTTAAAATATTATATGCTTCATCCTATTATGAATTCATCCAAGACACAGAATTTTACCCATCCCAGGATCTAAGCACTGAACACAGTGCTTTGCAGAGAAGGCACTCACTGTAGAATAGAAGCTCATACCAACACCAGGCTCTAGATAAATAAATTGGCTCTAGTTTTCCCAGAGAGTAACACTACCCTAAAAGACAACCATGGAGGGAAGGGGAGATATCTGTGTCTCTGTCTCTAACACACACATATACACACACCATCACCACCACCACAGTAGGTACAGCTCTTTCCTCTCCAGATAGGAGCCTAATAAGCTAAAACTGCACTGATAGCCCCAGGTCCTATGGAATTTGATCATGACACTAAATCTCAATCTTGTATGCTTCCAGGGAAAAAGAACCATAAAGAGGGATCTAGATGATGTACAGATTCTGGGAAATTAGGCTCTAAGGGCAGCAAGGGCCCTTGCTCTTCTGCAGTGAAGCCCCTAGAAGATATAAAGGAGCTTGGGGAGGTCACACTGTACACCTAAACTGTCCATCATCCATGCTCAACCAGTACCAGCCTAAACTTTGAAAGGAAAATTATATTAAGTCAGAATCTCTAAGAAACTCTAAGATGGCAAAGACGTGAAGATACATTTGAATCAGGCAATCTCTCAGTCTCTTATCTCTTTATCTCTTCAGGGACAATGAGGACCCAGTTTCCATTTTCCTTCATATGGGACAAATATCACAAGTTACCCCCAGAAACACCTAGTAACTACAGACAGGGCAAGCAACCTGGAATTATCTACTATAATCTCACCCACTTGTAACTCCAGAAAGCCACTAGCAATGACAGAGCTGGCAGAGCAAAACCTAAAGTGGCAGCCATCAATGTTATTATGATTCTCCCAACTATTTTGACTCCTCCCTAGAAACTTCTTTGTACCCTCCATCCAGTCAAGCCTAACTTATCAATTCTTCCTTAGTATTACCTCCTGCATCCTTCCTTTCTCCTTTCTTCCTTTGGTCTGCTATTTAGTAGTTTTGAAAATTAAGGCAAATAATTTATTCTTTTTGGTGCCTCATCTGTTGCTCTGCCTAATTCAAAGGATTATTCAATCAAATGAGATCATGCCCATGAAAAATTCTGTAATCTGTTATACATAAAAAGGCATCATTGTAATCATCAATCTAAGTCTATTATTGATAATGTGAAGCCTGACTCCTCTTCTTTCCTTTCTCATTTCCAACTACTTTATATACAACAGTAAGACAAATATATCTCTAAAAGACTGCTCTGTCCACATATTCATCTTCTCAGCATCTTTCACTGCCATCCCATTTCTTTCCCATTAATCAAACAATCCTGAATTTGACATATGCAGTCTCATCTCTGTACCACTGTCAGTTTAGAATGATTCCTCTGGTCTTGCAAGCCACACCCATCCTTCAAAGTCAGGCCAAAGCCCCAATACATGCAGAATAAGGAGAAATTTACAAAATAAAGTTCTTAAACATGATGGAAAAATTAAAGACAGTTCACTTTGAATTTTAAAAAAAGGTAGAAATTGCTGGGCACAGTGCGTCGGTTGTAATTGCAGCAGCTCAGGAGGCTGAGGCAGGAGGATCGAAAGTTCAAAGCCAGCCTCAGCAAAAGCAAGGCACTAAGCAATTCAGTGAGACCCTGTCTCTAAGTAAAATACAAAATAAGGCTAGGGATATGACTCAGTGGCCAGGTGCCCCTGAATTCAATCCCCTTAACTTCTCCTCAAGAAAAAGAGATAGAAATAGCTGTCACTGATATTTTTTGAGTCAGCTATTTAGAGGGATTACTTTTTTTTTTATTATTCTAAGAGATAACCTAAAATCAATAGGATGGAAGTTGCAGAGATGTGTTTTAGTAACCTGAAGAACATTTTTATTGTGCTATCCCAATAATAAAATCGGAAGCTTTCTATTTAGTAAATGCCTATTAGAAATGTTTAAGCCAAATTACAAAATTTGGTAAACTGACAATACTTTATACAGAATTCACTATCACAAGTAGAACTGGAGTAATAGCATGTTAGATCTGAAAGGAGCCTTAGAGATCTCCCGGTTCAGACTCCTATTTTAAGGCCTGGACCGATGAAGTCACTCACCCAAGGCAGCAGTTTGTTCTTAAGGACAGGAAGCAGAAAATGATCTCTGTTAATCCAGTAATTTACACCCTTGCTTCTCAGAGTGTGGTCCACAAAATAGTAGCATTATCATTACCTGGAAACTTTTTAGAAATGCATAACCCATGGAATCTGTATTTTAACAAGACCCCATTAAATGTCTGCATCATAAAAGTTAGAAAAGCACTGACCTGTACTGCCCCTTCCAGTGAATTTCTAATTCAGATACTGCATTTCCCAAACTGCACCAAACATTAAACAGAGGTATAACTCAAGAAAAATAGTATTTCCCAGTAAACTCTGGGAAACTCTCCATACATACCCCCAGATGGAAATTCACAGTAAATATCACTAGCATACTGAAGGTTCTGAAATAGTTTGAAGTAGAGAAAACTTTAACCAGGAATTTTCTTAATACATTTGAGTAAAAATGGGTTTAAAAAATAATAGTAGTAATGAAGTTATTATCTCTTTTAACATCCCGCAGCTCAGGCTCTGGCAATATACCAGGCAAAGAATGTCAACCTCTACCTAATAGCTCTTGGACTCTCAGTACTTTAAGTATACCAGAGTAGCAAACGGTCAGTAAAGGCTTGCTGCTGTCTTCACTGAAATAAATGAGGGTAAGTTTCTAAATCTCTGTGTCTTTAAAAACAGCAGTTCCTCCTCTGTGTGATTTACCTGTGGTTCTGCCTGAAATCGAGAGATGTGCAAGATGACTTTTCAAGAGTCATCACGCCAACAGCTAAGGCGGACCCCCGTAGAGGGGGGTTCACACACACCAAACCCATATGTAGACCCTGATGCTTGAGTCCTCTAAATTTTCCCCCGTTTGAGACAAATTTCTCAACCATGTGCCCACAGGAAACCTGTGGCTTGGTATGGGTTCACGGATGCCTCAGACGCTCCCGAGAAAAGAGGAGGACCCTAGCAGTTCTGGAGGAACTCTGAGGCACAGGCACTTTGACCCAGGTCGAACACCAGGCTGAAGAGCTCAGGGGGGTAGGTCGAGCCTGGGTTCAAACATCCAGACCACGGCGGGCACCCACCCCTGCCGCGGCCCAACCCTGCCTGCCCCCGTCACACACCCGGCTCTGTGCAGCGCCCTAGGCCAGCGCCGAACCCATAGCCCAATGCGAGAACCTCACGAACTTGTGGAGGGCGGACAGCAGACAGCAGGCAGAATTACCGCCTTCGTACCTGTCCTGTCAGGGGCTCCGCGCCCTCTTCGGGCCCCACCGGCGACCGACGCCCAAGACCCGGCGAGCCCCGCCCCGCCGCCCCGCCCTCGTGGGCTGCCCGACGCGCCGCCCGACCCTCCAGACTCACTTCAGAACCCCTCGTCCCAGAAACCCAGGGGCGTTCTGAATTTACAGAAAACACTACTCTTTTCCGCAGTACCCGCCTGGCTTAGAAGTGGTCGCCAAGCTCGGCGGAGAAAACATCGATCAGGCACACAGCTGGACAACTAGGGCATGATAAGCGCGTGCGCAGTGAGCCTGGGAAGCTGATAAGGACCTTCGTTGAGAGGTGCTTCGTGGCCAGCGCCCTCCGTCGGCGAAGGGAAGACTGTGTAGAAGATTTGGAGAACCTTTTACAAGCTTTTGAGTGCTAAACTGCCAGTTAAAACAGTAGCAATAAAACATATTTTGTTGGCTAGGTTGGAGAAAAACATAAATTTTGCTGCTACTCAGTGTCAGCCATCATGTGTGGATGGAAACATGCCTTTTTGATGGTAATATAAAATAATTCAAATTTTCATAATGGCATTTGGAGCTTTTATATTCTAAAAAATTAAACTTCTTGACTCAATGTGCCCGCTTCTAATAATGTAACCTAAATAAATAACCAAATAAGTTTGCAAAAATGTTTGTATAAAGATGTTGGGAGAGCCAGGATTTTACAGACATGGGCTCGAATTCTAACTGCAATTTACTAGCTAGGTGAGATCTTGGGCCAGTTACCTAACTTCTCCATGCCTCTGTTTCCTCAATTTGTAAATGAGGATGTTAATGATCCTCGTTTGAGGATGTGATGATAGTATCTATTTCACCTGATTGTTAGGAGAATGGAGTGAATCTGAGTTTGAAATATAACTATTACAAAGATATGTTTGTCTCAGTAATCTCAAGTTCAAAACAACCCAAATATACATAACATTGATGGTGGGTGGGAGTGAGAGGTAATGTTAGAGGGATGAATTGTTCACCCCTCTACTACTCATCCTTCCCCCCCTTTCACTTTCTACATTTTAAAAATTATTCTGAATGAATAATATTTCCATATGGTTCAAAAATCAAAATAAATGGGCTTGGTGGCCTATGCCTATAATCCCAGTGACTTGGGAGGCTGAGGCAGGAGGATTCCAAATTCAAAATGAGCCTCAGCAATTTAGAGAGGCCTTAAGCAACTCAGAGAGACCTTGACTCAAACAAACAAACAAAAAACATAAAAAGGGCTGGGAATGTGGGTCTGGATTCAGTCTCTGGTACCAAAAAATCATCATCGTCCTATCATCATCAAAATAAGATTTAATACACAAAGGAACATTTTTCAGCATTAAAAGAGAATAAAATCATGGCATTTGCAGGTAAATGGATGGAGTTGGAGAATATAATGCTAAACAGAGTTAGCCAATCCCAAAAAAACAAATGCTGGATATTTTATCTGATTTATATTGGGGTTGGGAGGGGAAGCATGTGAAGATTAGATGAACCCTAGATAGGGCAAAGGGAAGGGAGGGGGCAAGGGGTATAAAAAAGATGGTGGAATGAGATGGACATCATTTCCCTAAGTACATGTATGAAGACACAAATGGTGTGAATATACTTTGTATACAACCAGAGATATGAAAAAGTGTGCTCTATATGTGTAATATGAACTGTAATGCATTCTGCTGTCATATATAACAAATTAGAATAAAAAATTTTAAAAAATATTAAAAAATAATAAGATTCAAAAGTAAGTACTTAGAAAACAACCTTCAACCTTTCTTCAAACCTACTCCATCATTCTTGCCTACTGTAGGTAGGTAAGTCTTATTGGTAGTGTCTTATTCATATCCTCATAAAGTGGTTTATTTAAATATGAGCACAAATATATTGTCTCCTTCTTTCTTCCTTTTTTTTTTTCTTGGTACTGGGGATTGATCCCAGGGGTACTTTACCACAGAGCTATAGCCTCTATCCCCAAACCTTGTTGTTTTAATTTTGAGAAAGGGTTTCACTAAGTTGGTGAGGCTAGCTTCAAATTTGCAATCCTCCTGCCTCAGCCTCCCCAGTTGCTAAGATTACAGACATGCTCCAACCCCACCAGGCTTCCTTCTTTTTTGTGTGTGCAAAAGGTAATACACTATGTTTACTTGTACTTTGTTTTCTTCACTTAACAATATATCCTAAAGCTAAATCAGTACATTAGAGGTCTTCCTCATTCATTTTTCCAGCTCTATTGTATGGACACACTTAATTTATTAACCAGCTTCCTCTAGTTGGATACTTTGTTTCTAGTCTTTTGCTGTTACAAAGAAAGTTGTAATGAAACTCTGTGTCCATACACATTGCATGTGTAAGCAAACTTACCTGTAAGATATATCTTGGTCAAATAATAAATGCATTTTTAATTTTAGAAGAAATGACCTCCATCTTCTTCAATGAAAGAGAAGTGATATAAACTCAGCGCCCAGAGGTACATGCCTGTAATCCCAGTGACTCTGGAGATGGAGACCCAGGATTGCAAATTAGAAGTTAGAAGCCAACCTCAGCAATTTATTGAGACCCTGTCTCAAAAAAAAAAAAAAAAAAAAGACTGGGACAGGGAATGTAGATCAGTGGTGAAGCTCCCCTGGGGGTGGGGGGTGGGGGAGGCAAGGGAAGGGAAGGGAGAGAAAGAAATAGTATAAAATATAAATTGAAAAATTTTAAAAGGCACTACAACCAAGTGCAGTGATGTATGCTTGTAAAATGCAGCAATCTGGAGTCTGAGGCAGAAGGATTGCAAGTTTAAGACCAGGCTCAGCAAATTGACCAGATCCTGTCTCAAAAAAATGTAAAAGGGCTAGAGATATAGCTCAGTGGTTAAGTGCTCCTGGGTTCAATCTCCAATACCAAAATAAATAAATAAGTTTTAAAAGGGAAGACCACTACATATACATATTTGTTATTTTGGTAAAATATACATACACTTTGCTAATTTAACTATTTATAAAGTATACAGTTCAATAGCATTAACATTTTTGTACAATTATCACTTCCATTCATCTGCAGAACATTTTCATCTTTCCACACTAAAACTGTACCAAATAAGGCCAGACACAGTGGTGTACCCCTGTAATACCAGAGGCTCAGGAGGAAGAGGCAAGTTCAAAGCCAGTCTTGGCAATTTAGCAAGAACTCTAAGCAACTTAGCGAAACTCTGTCTCAAAATTAAAATAAATAAATAAAAAATGTACCAAACAAACACTAACTCCCCATTCTTCCCTTTCCCAACCTCCAATAATTATCATTCTTTGTCTTGATGAATTTGATTATTCTAAGCACCTCATATAAGTAGTAGAATCATACAATATTTTTTTCTTTGATGCCTGTATATTTCGCTTAGCAAATGTCTTCAAAGCTAATCCCTATTGTAATAAGTGTCAGAATCTCATTCCTTTTTAAGGATGGATTAATATTCCAACATATAAATATACCAATTTTTTATCCATTTTTCCCTCGAGAGGTATTTGGGTTGTTTCCACCTTTTGGCTATTATAAATATGCACATTTTAAAAACAAACATACGTATCCCACTCACCCCATTCCCCAAATTCCTTCTCAAAGAAACTATTAATGCTTGGTGGTTGTTGTTGTTGTGTGTGTGGTTGTGTGTGTGTGTGTGGTGTATGTGAGTGTTGTCCCAGAGTAAGACTTTGGAAACGTATGCATTTTAAATGCAAATAACAGCTCCCTGTGAACACTGTACTGAACCTTGCTTTTATTTCTACTGAACAATCTGGATAATATGTCTTGGAGGTTTAAAGGTCATCCTATTACTACATTGAGATTAGCATGCCTTGTTCTATATGGGGATATATATTTATATCTCGGCATGTATATGTATGTGTGTGTATATATATATATATGGATATATATACACACACATATATATACGTATATGTTTATGACTGGAACAACCTTAAACAGATGTGCTGAGTTTGGGATGTGAAGCTACCAGGCCTTGGATGGAGGTGGAACGCAGGAAAAATTCAAATGCTGTTCAGCGGCATGAAAGGGAAGACCCACTGAATCTAAAGGACAGGTCATAGGCTGGGGTTGTGGCTCAGTGGTAGAGCACTCGTCTAACACATGCGAGGCCCTGGTTGGATCCTCAGCACCACATAAAAATAAACAAAGTATTGTGTTCAACTACTTCTAACAAAACAAATAATTGTAAAAAATAAAATAAAGGACAGGTCATGCTTATAAGAGAACTATTGGGGGGGGGTGCTGGAGTTGTGGGTCAGTGGTAGAGTGCTTACCTGGCATGTGTGAAGCCCTGGGTTCACTCCTCAGCACCACATGTAAATAAATAAATTAAATAAATAAAACATCCATTGACAACTAAAAAATATTTTAAAAAAATAAAACAGAACTATGGAAGGGGGATTGTTTGTTAATATATTGCATTAGGTTAAGTGGCCTGCAAGGGAAATTATACTGTCTTTGTCCTTTATATTGTTTCTTAATAGATGCTGTTTTAAGGGACCCAGCCAGTCTTTGGTCCCCTCTGATGAGGAGTGTGAATGACACCCCAAGGACTCCCAAACTGCTGTGTGGCTACAGCCCATTCCCCCAACCTATAATGCAGAACACTGAAGAATAGCTGTTCTCTTGGAGGTGAAATTCTAGGCATTATATGACATAGGAAAGCATCAAGGGGGAGAAACCCCTCTCAGGAAGGAATACTATTTTCCAGAATGAGGCAGATTTTTAGGCTGCAAAGCTTGGAGAAGTGATGGATGAAGGAAGAGGGCAAATCAATGGTGACAAAGCCAAATGTGGAAGATGATAGATATAGGGGCAAGAAGTATCTAGATTAGAGCTGGAGTCATAGCACAATGGTAGAGCACTTGCCTGGCATGTGTGAGACACTGGATTTGATTCTCAGCACCACATAAAAATAAATAAAAATAAAGGTCCATTGACAATTAAAAATAATATTTAAAAAAAAGAAGTATCTAGATATATCAACACCATCTAGTAGACATATGAAATTTTGAAATTGTCTTTAATTGATAAACAAACTAATAAATTTAAAGAAATTTTTGGAGAAAATTATTAAAATTAAATTTCACATGTCAGCCACATGTATAATTTCTAAAGACACTTTTTTACTAAAAAGTAAAAAGAAACAAGTGAAGTTAATTTTAAATATATATTTAGGAGGGGTACCAAGGATTGAATCCTGGGGCACTATACCACTGAGCTATATCTCCAGCCCTTTTTATTTTTAATTTTGAGGCAGGATCTTGCTTAGTTACTTAAGGCCTTGCTAAATAGCTGAGGTTGACTATGAACTTAAAATCCTCCTGGCTCAGCCTCCCAAATCACAAGGATTACAGATCTTTGCCACCAACCCTGACAACAATAATTTTTACCCAATATTTTTACTAATATTTCCAAAATATTACCATTTCAATGTGCAATAATCATCAATATAAAAAATACTATTGAAGTTGGGCATAGTGGCACACACCTGTAATCCCAATAACTTGGGAAGCTGAGGTAGAAGGATCCCAAGTTGGAGGCCAGCTTGGGCAATCTAGCAAGACCCTGTCTCAAAAAATAAAGAGGCTGGGGATGTAGCTCAGTGGAAGAATATCTCTGTGTTCAATCCCCCATTAATATACACACACACACATACACACACACACACAGTAAATGTTGGGATAGCTTTTTTTTTACTGTCTTTGAAATTCAGTGTGTATTTGCATTTATGGCACACATTTATTAAGATGTTATGATCACAAGAGAATTTTTTTCAGTACTAAGTATCAAACACAGGCTCCCAAGCATACTAGGCAAGACCTCTCCCACTGAGTCACTCCCTAGCCCTGAAAATACTTGATATAGTTTAGATTTAGATTTCATAAAATTTAAAATAAAAAAATACATTCCAGCAGGGCTACTTGCTTGTAATCCTAGAGACTCAGAGACTGAGGCAGGAGGATCACAAGTTACAATCCAGCCTGGGCAACTTGGTGAGACCCTGTCTCACATAACAAAAAGGGCTAGAGATGTAGCACTCAGTAGAGTGCCCCTCTCAATTCAACCCTCAGTACTGCAAAAACAAAGAAAAAACTGTTAAATATGCAGATTTGAAAATCTGGAGTAAACACTAAAGAACAGAGACAGAATGTATTCTTTCAGAGAGAGAGAATTTCAAAACAGGAAAGCAATTCTGCTACACTCTAAGATGTTCCCCACCTGCTAGGCACAGTGGTGCACACCTGTAATCCCAACAGTGTGGGAAACTGAGGCAGGAAGATCACAAGTTCAAAGTTCAGTGCCCCTGGGTTTAATCCCTGGTACCCATCCACCCCACCCCCCCAAAAAAAAGAGAAAGAAAAAGAAAAAAGAAAAGGACTGGGGATGTGGCTTAATGGTTAAGTGCTCTTAGGTTCAATACCTGGTTTAAAAAAAAAAATCTGTTGCAATGACTAACTCTTCATCTGTCTAGAACTAACAGATGAGGAAGAAGGATGGGCTCTCATATCCCCTTGCTGGTTGTATTTGGAGCTGACTAATTCTTCCAGCAGCTTCCTAACCCTGATTTGTACCAACTGGGTGCTCCTGCTAAGTGACACAAGTGTGCTGGGTCATCCTCAGCAAGTGACTGGATTCCAAGAAGTGTGTGTGTGTGTGTGTGTGTGTGTGTGTGTGTGTGTGTGTGTGTGTGTTTTGGGGATTCTCATGGAAGGCAACTATGAAAGCCAGTAAATAACCAGAATGGTGGGGTATGAAGAAGAGTAGGCATCACAGAAGGTTAGCATCCATCCTTCATTACCTCAGAGTGGATCTGAAAGCAGAAAGGACTCAACATAGTTAGTGGTAAAGGTGAAATCTAGGCTCTCGGGGGTAAATGTCTTGGGATATCCTGGGAAGAAATGAGAATACAGGTGATGGAAGGATAACAGTTTAGGGAGATATATCGGGGCTCAGTAGAAATGTCACAATATATATGCAAAGATGGAGGCAATGAAGTTTTCCCTCTGACTCAAGGTAGGATTTTTAAGGGAGTGTATAGATGCAATACATGGATTCAGCAGAATGCACATTAGGCTTTGGAGATGCCTGTTTCGAGTTCCTGAGTTAGGAAAGAGATCCTGGAATGTTTGTGGAGAAGAAAGTCATGGTACATATCACTGATTCCAGCACTGTTTACCAGCAGGTATATCTCAGGACACTTCTGCAAATGCCACTAGGCAAAAATCCAAATGGAAGCCACAAATCTGATGTCCTTGCCAAGCAGGAAACTGCATGGATCCATGCTTCTAGTGACACCAGAGTTTGAGCTGAAACTTAATTCTTCATTTCTGCTGGTGGGGGGAGTCTGTGTAAGTTGTAGGTTTCTGAAGCCAAGAAAACCTATTTTGGTATTAGAAACTAATTATGGCAGGTGCCAGCTCCAAATGTCACAGCTGGCAAAGCTGATTCTTCTCCACTACTATCCAGTGGCATGTTGCAGCTCTTAATAAGTGGTCTATGCCCTCCAGAGTTGCAGCAGATCCCAGCAGCTCTCCACCAATTTCTTCTTTCTGGTTTCTTTTCTCCTGATTTGAAGAATAAAATCCACACATAGAAAGAATAAGTGCAAAAGAGTAGGATTTAGGGGTTGGGGTTGTGGCTCAGTGGTAGCGTGCTTGGTTAGTATGTATGAGGCACTGGGTTCAATTCTCAGCACCACAAAAAAATAGATAAATTAAATAAAGGTATTGTGTTCATCTATAACTAAATTTTTTTAAAGGTAGGATTTATTCAAGTGAGTAGCAAATACAGATCTCTCTGGGGTGAGAGGGAGCCCACTATGGGTGACCACTTGAATGTGCTAGTCTAGGGATTTCTATAGCTCTTGAATCAACATTATTGGTCCAAATTTATGCTAATCAGGCCTTGGAAAGTATCAATGCTATTGGTTAGCCCTGCAATCCTATTTAGGATTGCTCATCATCTAGGGCTGGGCCACCAATGGGACAGTTCAGTGAGCCCTGGTTTGCCTCAGCATGGCTCACTAAGCCACAGGCCTGTGTTGGCATGGTAGGCTCCTTGTAATTGAGGCCTGTACTTGCCTTCCACACTCCAGCCCACCCAGGGCCACCACTCCACCATTTCAGATGAGGGCTTGGCTTCACCAGCTCTAGGAGGTAGGAACTACATGGGGCCCATGAAAAGCCAGCTACCAGGCCACAATTTTCCCAATGCCCATGGCAGGGCACCTTCAGAATAGAACAGTCTAGGTGGAGACTAGAAAGCATTGGAATAAGGGGAAAGGCAAGGGTGTTAAGAGTGGAGAATGATTCCCTCCCTTGTCCTGGGATTATTGAGGACTGAGTTCTAGTGATGTGACAGGGTGGGAGAAGTGCTCACCACTGTTGAGCCCAGTCATTATTGCTGTCTGCCCAGTCACTTTTGTGTAACAGGCCTGAGACTCCTGCCAGAGCTGCCCATATTGAGCAAGCAGGTGAACCAGAAACATAAGAAAAATCCAGGGCTTCAGCCCAGGGTGCTGAGTGAAGCTCACAGCAACATAGCAGAGACTGCCACTTGGCCACTGGGAAGTGCTTGATGGGGGAGGCTAGAACACATTGCATCGTGGGGACTAGCGATGAGGCAGGTGTGGAGTTTATGGCAAATCTCTACACAAAAGTAAAACTTGGATTTGCAGTCTAAGATGAACTGATTAAGCTCCAAGAACCAGGGGTGCAAATCAAGTTCCTCTTATCTTTAGTTATTTTGTGCTTAGGCAGGACCATTCCCTTCTATGCCTAATAAAACAGAAATTTCTCCTCTCTGAACTAGAGCCCTTTTTGCAGGCTTTATATACACTCCTTTGCAGAATGCCTCTGCTGGGGAACAGCCTAGTCCCTAAAGCAGGGTCTCCTAAGGATGGTGATGGGGCTATCCCCTGGAGCCCTTGTTCGATCTTCTTTTAGGCCTGCAGGACAACTGCTCCCCCTGGCGTTCAGTGAGAGAATGGACACCCTTGGAAGTAACATCAAACCAATTCCTAGAGCAATTCAGGTGTTTTATTTCTGACAGGCAGGCACAGGGTAAGTGAAATTCCCACTGCCAAAGGTTCAAGAACCGGAATGGGGCATGGGCTTTGAGGGGAGCAGCCACACTTTGGGAGCTGCACTCTTTGTTAGCTGTTCTGCTGTCACATGAGGTTTGGACACACCTTTCTGGATGGGGCGCTGCTCAACTGCAGGAGAGGTGCCTCCTTCTTTGACTTCCTCTTGGGACACAGCAGAGTTAAGCAGCACCTGGGTGCTACGGTTCCACATGCTCACACCAGGAGTCAACTTCACTGCTTCTGGCACCAACACTGGCTTCCAGAATACCTGGGATGTAGCCTCAAGGACCTGAGGCATTGTTTGGGGCCATCCAGAAGCCTGGCCTTCCTTTTCAGCAAGCCCCAGGCCCTGTGGGGGCACACGGGTGCGGCCAGCCCACAGGTTGCCCAGCAGGTCAGCCTCCCTCTCCCAGCCACTGGGCCACTTGGCTCTGGGCCACACACTGGGGCTGGACCTGTGAGCAGCTTCAACAACTGCCGGGTGTGTGTCAAGGAAATGAATCCCAGGGCTTGGGAAAGGTAGCTTTGACCCAAAGGATAGTGATGGTGGGCCTAAGTTTAAAGTGGGTAATTGGAGTCTGGGTTCTGGGCCCACAACACGGAAAGGAACGTCAGATTGTAAAGGGAAGAATGCAGCCAGAGATGCAGGGACATGGGGGCCAGGGGCTTGGAGTCCAACCTGGGCTTGGATCTTTCCCCGCTGGCGCTTACGGTAGGCTTCCAAGGGGTGAACCTTGGAGTCTGGAACCAAGACCTCAGCCAAGGGGCGCACCCAGTGGCGGGGAAGCCGCGCAGGGTCCAAGCGCACTTCGGCTGCCTTGCGATCCACCCTGGACTGAAGCGTGCCACGACGCTGTGAATCCAAGTACACAGACTGCTGCGACTGGGAGGACACTGATGCACTGAGAGCACTGGTGTCGCCTTTGGAGGAGAAGGGTACTAACACGCCTGAGGCATTGGGGGACATCGCCTGGGTCTTGCGCTTCAACTGGTCCCCAGCGGCGTCTGGTTGGGAAATGCAAGAGTAGAAGTCCTCCAGCGACAGGGGGGACCTGAGGTGAGGTGGGCTCTGGCTCCCCACAGAGGCCCGGGGAAGGGCTACCTGGGACAGCTCTAGGAAAGGACGAGGACTCTCTGCAAGTTCCACTTCCAATGACGGTTGTACACTCCCATTCAAGAACCCAACCAAGGAAGAGTGGCTTCTTGCCCCACGATCAGGTTCCTCCAGAGTATCCCCGAGCTCTGCCTCCTGAAACAGCTCCGGATTGGGCTGGGGACCCAAGGTGACACTCAGAGAATGCTCTCGAGATTCCGTCAGTTCTTGGGAGGCTCTTCCCGGCCACGATCTTCTTAAAGGGATCCGGTCCAGGTTCTCCAGGTCCTGGGGAAATGCACCGGGATGGTGAGAGGTCAGAAAGGGAGAGAAGAATTAAGGACAGGAGTCCTGAAAAGCCCCTAAGTAGATCAAAGACGCAGCGGGACGCTGGCCTAGGAAGGAGGCTTACTTCAACTTGGCAGTTCTCCTCCAGAACCTCCGAGGCAGGTGTGTGCAGCACGGGTACAGAGCCCTGAGCCCAAGCATCGGTCGTGCACGCCAGGGGCTCTTCATCCTCGCCCCATGTGGGGTCCTCAGCCACTGCTGATTCTCCCTCGTCCCGAGCCAGGAAGCGCCACTCAGTGATCTGCAGCATGGCTTCCCGGGCCTGACTGATGGTAAATGGAATGCACTGCGAAAGTGAGGAAGCATCTCAGTCCCGCAAGGAATGGTGGGTCGGGAGAAATTGAGTCTGGAAGACCAGGATCCAGACCCACCTGCTGGGTCAGGTAGACTTGGAAGGCGGAATCCATGACTCGAGCCAGCAGATCCGCCAGGATGTCCCCCACTACGTCCTCGCCCTCCTCGATAGCGGTTAACGCGATCCATTCGGCCTCGTTAAGCCGCCCAGGCACGATCTCCACCTGCGGCACCGTCACCGTGGGCGGTCGCGCCTTCTCAGCCTTGGATCGGGTCATCCCTCGGTCTCGGGCCTGCCTCTCCTGTCTTTCCTGCCTCTGTGGGAATGAAACGGCACTCAAGGCAGGTAACAGAGAAGTGCGACTGAAGGAAGCTTACCGAAATTATTTAGTAGAAAGGGAAGGGGACAGTTTACTAAGAGACTATCATGTTGCTAATTGCTTTCATTTTCATAAGTCCACTAAAGTTGTTTTACAGACAAAGAAACTGAAGCTTGGCAGAAGTTAGCCATAATTCGCTTGGAAGCACAGAGTTTTAGATGAAGCTTACATAAAGCTCTAACCCCATGGTCCTTGCTAATTGCAGGAGTGCAAAGTGTCCAAAGTCATTGAGAGTTCAAAGAACTTGAGAAGAATTACTGGTGGAATTACTGGTGCTATTTTGTCTCTTCTATATTGTTAACTACTATTTTTATCCCTATTTTATGTAATTTGCCTAGGATCACACAACTAGAAAATAGTCAGAATTCCTGTCAGTTTGTCTAATTTCAGAACCTGATTTTATCCTACCTCTCAAATTAAAAATATTTGAAACACATACAAAAAGGATATATATCTCCAAATACATTAAAAACTCATATAAAAGGAAAAAGCCATTTAAGATACCAAAGATAAAACAACATTTCATAAAAGAGAAACTGTAGATGATTTAATACATATTATGAAAAGATGTCTAATCCTCAAATTTATCAAAAGATGTACATTTAATTTATATTCTCACTTTTAGGTCATCTTAAGAGAAATTATTTTTGGCCTGGCACAGTGGAGCATGTCTGTAATCCCAGTGGTTTGGGAGGCAGAGGCAGGAGGATCGCAAGTTCAAAGCCAACCTCAGCAATTTATCAAGGTATTAAGCAACTCAGTGACACCTGGTCTCTAATAAAATACAAAATAGGGCTAGGGATGTAGCTCAGTGGTCTAGTGCCCCTGAGTTCAATCCCTGGTACCAAAACAGAAAAGAAAAGAAATTATTTTTAAGGCCAGGTGTAGTGATGCATCTCTGGAATCCCAGAAAAAAAAAAAAAAAAAAGAAAGAAAGAAAGAAAGAAAAGAAAAAAAAGTGGTAGGGAGGTAGCTCAGGGTCCAATCCCCAGTACTGCAAAAAATTATTTCAACATAAGAATACTCATGCTAGCAAAGTACATAATGTGACACCATGCTGATGGGAATATTAAGTGGAAAAATATTTTTGGAAAGCCATGCAAGAACATTAAACAAGAACATTAAAAATATTTTTAAGACAAGTGTGATGCCAGATGCTTGTACTAGTGATTACTCTGAAGGCTAAGGCAGGAGGATCACTTGAGCCCAGTAGTTCAGGCCAGCCTGGACAACATAGCAAGACACCATCTCAAAGAAAGAAGGAGGAGTCTGTCACCATGGCATATGTCTATAATCCCAGTGACTGGTGAGGCTGAGGCGGGGAATAGCAAATTTGAGGCCAGTCTCGGCAACTTAGTGAGGCTCTCAACAACTTAGTGAGATCTTGTCTTAAAATAAAAAATAAAAAGGGCTGGGAACTGTTCAGTGGTTAAGCACCTCTAGATTCAATTCCTGGTACAAAAGAGAGAGAAAGAGAGAGAGAGAGAGAGAGAGAGAGAGAGAGAGAGAGAGAGAGAGAGAGAGAGAGAGAGAGAGAGAGAGAGAAATGTTTTTATTCCTTTGACCCTGACAGTTCAATTCTATAAAATCTTTCAAAAGGCATATTCTGAAATAAAGATTAAAATATATTTTCTGATATATATTCTCTGTGATGCTATACACTAGAATACTGAAACATATCCAAGAAAAAAAAAGGTGATTAATTATGCTGTATCTGTATAATAGAATGTTAGGCAATGATTAAAAAATAATTTTTAGGAAGAATTCCCAATGGCATAAGAAAATGCTCATGATATAATGTTAAGTAAAAGAAACAAGATACAAAGTTGCTTGTCAATTACATCAGATATATAGACCAATATTTATTAAGGAAAAATAAAACATCAAAACAATTACAGAAAGTATGTTTATTTTCTGTTTTTCTCTATTTTATAAGTTCTCTACAATGAGTTTGTATCCTTTTGTAATTAATGTACTTAAAAAGAAGACTAGTCCTCAAAACTCACTTTACAGACATGGTAACTTACTCTCTTAGGAGACTTCTCACTTCCCTACAACAGTCTCTCTGAACCTGGTTCCTTCCAAAATTGACTTCCAAAATCGATCTTCCCAAACTTTTATCTACTCCCCCCCTACCTTCTAGACTCATACTTGATATTCCCTAAAATTCATTCTCCCTCAAATCTGATGTTTCCTAAACCTCACACCGAACCCCAAATCCCTTACAACTCCTTTCACCTTTCCACCAGCAAGAACAGGAAGCATTAGGATAACATTTGGTTCCTTAGACCTCTCCCAGTCTTTCATCTGACTGACCCCTGCTATGGTGCCTAGACCTGGCCTGATTTGGGGGGTGGAGGGTGAGAGATAGGATACTTGTGCACAAAGGCTCTTCAGATATGTTTTCTTTATTTTAAAATTTCTTGGCTTTGGAACAATTTGACTTTCAAGTGCAGTCTCATAGTTGTTTAATCCATTTGTTCCTTCTGAAATTCTCAAAATAGAGGATTTATCCATCAACACCTCCCCCCAGCTGCCTGACCAATTCTGGTTTATCCATTACAATGGCAAGCTCAGTGAAAGAAATTTATTATATGTGTTAGCTGTTTCCATATTCACTTTTTATTCTCGAGCCCCAAATCATTCACCGACTCTTTCCTGAGGGTTCCTTGAGAGGTCCCACCGTGACAAAGCGCGAGAGGGCAAAGCGCAAATGAGTGCAGATGTAGGCTTTCTGCCCAAGTACGGATATGGCTTCCTCGGTCATCTTGAACGCCCAGGCCGCGCAGAATGGCCCACTCTTTCCGACACCGACCTTACTGGCCGACGCACCCCCCCTTGAGCTGAAGCTCACCGAGCCATCATGCGCCATTGCCGCGGCGATCGCTCCAACCCGGGTGTCCCGGTAGATTCCTTGACGCGCCTCTGCTGCGGACGCTGCCGCCGCCTAACGGTCGCCTCGGAGACCACGGAGCGCGTTGGGTTGCTCGCCCCGCCCACAGTTTCCCCGGCAACCGCGCCGCGCTCAGCACGTTCCGACTGTTCGCTCCGCCCAATAGCCTGCGTGGGTGCGTCGTCTCTATGGTGGCGGCGGATTCGGAGAGACCGAAGGATCCAGCAGTCAGGCAAGGAGATGTGGGGCTGCGGGTGTGATCTAAGACCCTGAAAGGATGCTATTATAGGGAACCAAGTCCAGAGAGGAAGGGCCGGGGGTCTCATCCCGCCCTTTTGGCTTGGGCTTCTGGGGCCACCAGCTCCTGTGTCATCATCATTCCTCCTCTGGGATTCCCTATCGTCCTGTGACTCAGCCCTGGGACTCCCCTCTTCTGGTGTAGGAGACCTTCCTCCCGCCGTGAGACCCTTCCCTATCATGTTCCCTGGGCACTTCATCACATCACCCAGTCTCAGGGGTCTCCCTCAGTGCCTCATGATTGCTCCTCCCACCCCCAGGAATCTCTACTGTGATCTTTTCCCTTTGCGCCCTGGGATTGGGGTGTTTCTTCCCCCAGGATGTTCCGCCGGGAGCGCTCCGTCCCCCTTCGAGGCTCAGCCGCCGCCCTGTGTAACAACCTCAGCGTGCTGCAGCTGCCCGCCCGCAACCTCATGCATTTTGCTGTGGTCCACGGACCAAGCGCCCAGCTTCTCAGCGCTGCCCCTGAGGGTGTACCATTGGCCCAGCGCCAGCTTCACGCCAAAGAGGGCGCTGGAGTGAGCCCCCCACTTATCACTCAGGTGAGGCACAGAATTGGGTGAGGTGTTGGTGAACTCAGACCTACCCCCACCCCCATCCTTTTCAAACCTCAAGAAATAGGCCTTCCCCTCATTCTCTGAATTTCCACTCTTCTGATGCCTCATATCCCCTACTCTGATTTTCTCCTTATTCTGATCCACCTACCTCCAGGTCCACTGGTGTGTCCTCCCCTTCCGAGTACTGCTGGTACTCACCTCACATCGAGGGATACAGGTAAGAAGACTCCCACCAGTCAACTCCCCTCCTTTAGACCTCCCTTAGACCTTTCTGCACTTTCCTGCAGTCTCTTCCAACTTTTTACATTTGTAGCCTGCTCTTCCTCTATTTCTCATCTTCCATTTTCTCTAGTTCCCAAGTGCCTCCTTGACATCACCATCGGCCTCTTTACTACCTGTATGACCTTAGGCCTACCCTAGTTATTCTCCTCTGAAAAAATAGGGAGAAAAAAATAGTGTCTGTCTCCCAGAATGGTTTTAAGGATTAAATGGACTAAAGTTAACATGGATATGTGAAGAACTCTGTACAAGACTCAGCAAAGATCAGCTGGACCATGGCCTATCCTTGCCCCTCTGTTCCAGATGTATGAGTCTGATGGTTCCATCATGGTCTACTGGCATGCATTGGATTCTGGAGATACCTCTTCAGGTACCTGCAGGACAAAGTGGGGTGGGTAGGCATAAGAAGTGTTTACCAAGGCTGGGGAAGGTGCTATTTCTGATAGTTTTCCTTTTTCACACTCAGTACAGGCTGTGTTTGCTCGAGGAATTGCTGCCAGTGGCCACTTCATCTGTGTGGGTGAGGGGGCCAGGGGCAGGGAGGGCATTAGGGAAATGGAGATAGGGGTGTGGGTTTCAGCCAGGAGAATGTTGAGGGACTGAGGAAATTATGAAGGGTTAGAGAGGAGGGTGGAAGAGAAAGGGATAGAAAGGATGGGGTAGGATGAAGGCAGTGAGTAGAGGAGCCAGGTTGTTGGAATAATGGGTTTGTTACTAAGGTAGAGTATGGAAAGAATGCTGAGTGTGGTGATTAAAAACCTAGGAGGGTCAAGAAGTCATCCAGGGGGTGCTGGTTCTGGCTGCAGGAACATGGACAGGACGGGTGCTGGTGTTTGACATCCCAGCAAAGGGTCCCAACATTGTACTGAGTGAGGAGTTGGCTGGACACCAGACAGCAGTCACAGATATTGCAACGGAGCCTGCCCAGGGACAGGTGAGTAGACTTCTCTTATCCATCTTGGTGAGCCTAGGAACCTTACCCACCCTGGGAGGCAATAGACCTGGGTTTGAGTCTTGGTTCTACCATGAAGCAGCTGGATGGCTTTGGGCAAATCTGTTCCTTCCTAGATTTCAACAACTTCAGCTTCAGTGATAAAACTAGAGGTACTTTAGATGGCATTTTATAGTTCATTAAGCCCTTTGATACTGGTATGGATTGAGGAATTGGAAAAAAATGGTTTCTATGATGCTGTCCAGCTCTAATACACACAGCTTCCTTCTGTGGACTTGAGCAAGTCCTACCTATTTAGGCCCAACTCCAGAGGCCCCCCTCTCCAGGAGTATATTTCAGCTCCCACTAATCTCTTTTAGCTAAACCCTGAATTGGCCCTGCCCTCAAAGACAACTCTTATCTCCCCAACTGAATTGCAAACCTCTTGAGAATAGGGAGTGTATTTTCTGATTTGTATTGTCCATGGCACCTTGTCCAAGGCTGTCTGGTGTTGGAGATCAAGAGGCCCAGAGTCACTCATGATTCATTGTAAGACCTCCAAAAAGTCATGACACTGTCACTTCAGTTTCATCATCCATTCAACAAGGACAGTTACTTATTTCCTTCTAATACAAATGCCAGGGTGGAGATGTGGTACTTTTAATCCTATAAGAAAATGCAAGGGAAGCAGTCTGCTTGAGGAAATCCTGAAGAGGATTTCTAGTGGGTCCACTCAATGAGGGGTCCACATCTTGCCCTTTCCTTGGAGAGGCAAAGATGCAAATATGGCCTTCCTTCCCCTCCTGCCCTGTACTCAGGACCATAGCAGGGAAGAAAGGGAAGAGCTGATCCCACCTTTCCCCTCAGGATAGCGTGGCTGACATGGTGACAGCTGATGATTCAGGCTTGTTGTGTGTCTGGCGATCAGGGTCTGAATTCACATTACTGACCCGCATTCCAGGATTCGGGTAGGTGAGGCAAAAGGGAGCTGTGGCCTTCCTGATGTATTTCAGGGTGGGGAGTGGGAGTGAGTCTGGAGAAACCAAAGTTAAATGTCACCCTTGCAGGATACCATGCCCCTCCGTGCAGCTATGGCAGGGGATCATAGCAGCAGGCTATGGGAACGGCCAAATTCGTCTATATGAGGCCACTACAGGAACTCTACATGTCCAGATCAATGCCCACGCACGGGCCATCTGTGCCCTGGACCTCGCTCCTGAGATGGGCAAGGTCAGTCTACTCCTACCTGCCTAAACTCTTTCTCCTCTGAGCACCTAGGCTTGGTCTGTACTCAGGGACCCCCTTCCCCAGGGTGCCTGAGCAGGTGTTCCAGTCTGCAACCATCCTGTCAGGAAATTCTGATTTTTCACTTTCTCCATTTTTTTTTTTAATATAGCTACTCTCTGCATCTGAGGACACCTTTGTACACATCTGGAAGCTACGAAGAAGCCCAGAGAGTGGCTACATTGAGGTGTGTGTCATGGGAAGGGTGGAATGGCGGCCCAAGCACAGGGCAATAGGCCCTGATCAACCCTCTTCACCCCCAGGTGGAACACTGTCATGGTGAGTGTGTATCTGACATCCAAGTGTGTGGTGCTCGATTCTGTGATCCCTCAGGCAGCTCCTTTGCTGTGACTGGCTATGACCTCGCTGAGATCCTGAGATACAGCAGTGTGTGAGAGAAGAGCAGACTTCCCTTCTCCCTATGGTATTTATAAAGTGTCCCCTCCACCTAGCCCTTGTCTGATCACTCAGTATCACAGTCATACTTTGCAACGGTGACATAAGCTCCAGGGAGGAGGGAATGTATAGGTCCAGACCACGCAGAGTCAACCTGTCCTCAAGTACCAAGTGAAACCAGGTGCAGTTTTAGGCCTGTAATTCTAGTAACTCAGGAGGCTGAGGCAAGAAGTTCAAGACCAGCCTCAGCTACCTAGCAAGACCCTGTCTCAAAATAAAAAGTAAAAAAAGGGCTGGGATTGTGGCTCACTGGTAGAGTGCACCTGGGTTCAGGCCCCAGTACCAAAAACAAGCAAACAAAAAAAAAAAAAAAAAAAGAAAAAACCATGTGAAGACTGCTGTTAAATAATTTTAATGGTTGATGTAGAAGTGACAGTGGAAGTGCATTCCTCCCAGGGCTCTTCAGGGCCATCCTCAAAGCTGATTAGTGCAGGGAGGTAGGGCAAGGTGTTCCAGTTTTCTCCCAGGAAGGGTTTAGGGGGTCCCAGCCAGGGCTGGGAGCGAACCCCTTAGTACCATGACAACCACACCTAAGAGGGGCTTCTGTTCCCCCTCCCCCGCCTACCCCCAATCCAGTAGAGGAAGAGGAGGCCATGCTGGCCAACTTGCTACACACAGTGCTGTCCTCAGAGCCCAACTGCATGTGGGTCTTTCTTTATTCTGGCCAGGTCCTGTTGCCAGCACCTTTCTCTCACACTGGTGACTGGAGCCAAGTACGGAGTGGGCCTTTGCTGCAGAGGCCTCTAGATCGTGGGGATCGCTGTGGCGGGAGCGGGGCAACCAAGCGAGAAGCCCCAGGGGAATGGTCTGGGGGAACAGCATCCAGGGAAAAGGTTCGGGGTCGCCCCCAGGGAAGGGGGTGTGTCCAAGCTGGGGACACTGAAGCAGGTGAGCAGGGGCTATGCAGGGCAGGCTGGTCTGTAAACATTGCTAGCCAGGGTGGGGGTGTCTCCAGCCTTGTGCCCTCCCGCTGGGCCAGGATGTCTGTCACTGCTGCGATGTCATCTATCGGCTCAATAGCTGTGGCACCAGGAAGGGGTTGGGGGGAGGGGACTTGTCAGAGCGCAGGCCCCAGATCTACCCAACCCTGACCATCACCTGTCACTGTAATAGGAAGAAAGCAAAGCCTGGATCTCAGCCGAGATTGCATTGTCCTGTAGAAGCAGCCCCTCACCTGGGCCCCCTGGGGCCACAGGCTCCGATAAGACTGTAGGATACAGGATGCATGGTGGTGGGAAGACAGGATAGCAGAAGTGCGTGGAGGAACCAAGAAAGAGGAGAAAAATAAAAACAATGCCAGGCAGGTGAGGGGTCAGAGAAGGAGACAGGAATCCGCATGCAGAAAGGGAAACAGAAAAGAAGAAATTAGGAAAGAAATCCATGAAGTGAATCTGGTTCTTTGGGGTTTTGTTTTGAACTTTGGTGGAGGTGGTTCTAAGAAGAATTGGAGAGGAGAAAGAAGTACAGCGGGACTGGGTGGAACATGGATCCCCAGAGATCTGCTTTAGCCCAAAGTGTACTCTTTCTGTCTCCGTGATCTGGGCTTCCTTGAGGCCCCCAGCCCCACTTCCCATCAGGTTCCCCAGGAGGACTTTCCTCTCACTCACCCATTTCATGGTATAAGGACCCCTGCTTGGCCAGTGCTTGGGGTGGCTTGCGGGGAGCAGGAGTTTCAATTTTCATGATTTCATCACAGCACTGCTTCCACTGGCCTGCAGGAAGAGCACTGAGTGGAAGAGAGGGCCAGGTTGCCCTCTCTCCACGACATTCCCTTCCATCCACTCCATCTGGTAAAAATAAGAAACCTCAGGCCCTCCCAAAGGTTCAACCCGGCTGCCTTCTCTCTTACTCATGTCAAAGAATAGCTGCCACAGAGCCTCCTTCCAACTCTGCAAGGCTTCCCGGCTCTCAGTCTGAAGGGTGTGCGTCACCTCGTCATCCCCATACTGGTTGCTGATGCTGAGGGTGAAGGGCCGTCCTGGGGCCTGGTCCAGCTCTCCTGCCCTGACTCGAGTATCCTGCAGGAGAAAGAAGAGAGCTGCTTCCACCTCCACCGTGGCTGTAGAACACAGCAGTGACACCAGGTGGCCTAGAAAGAATGCTTGTGGGATTTTTGCTGAACCCTCATTTGCCTCCTGACCAGAGTGGGAAGGAATGGTAAGAAAGGACTAGGAATGACCTGGTCAGTGCTGAGTCAGGGAAGAAGAGTAAGGTGGAAAGAATCTGAGCAAAGCAGGAAAGGCACCAAGGTGGGCAAGAGTGCTAAGGCCCAGGGTCCCTCAAAACTTTCAGAATGTAGGCAGAGGGTTGGGGATGTAGCTTAATGGTAGAGCACTTTGCCCAGCATGCACAAGACTCTGGATTTTATCCCTAGCACTGCAAAAACACAAAGGAAAGGCAACAAAAGGGTTAGAGAGCAGCAAAGAACAATTGGACCTAGGTAGGGAGAGATAAGGAATAAGTGGTAGATACTAATTAGAATCTCAGGTGCGTGAGGGAAAAGAACGAAAGCCCTAAACTGGCAGTGGAACTCTCTCTGGGACTTAATAGGGATGAGGATGGTGAATGGAGAGGACAGCTTTTCCAGTGATGCTATCTGTGGTTGGGGAGAAAATGGTCCCCTTAGCATCCCTGGCTCTGAAGCAGGATGTGGTGCTATTAGGAGCAAGAGGCCAACCTCCCTTGTTTCTGAGATCTGTGGCTACCCTCCTGGGGCCTGAAGGAGAGGTGCCTGGGCCCAGGCACCTAGTGGCCTCACCACCAGGGACCCATCACCTTGTTGATCACAATAGTAAATAGTGGCTCTTCCCCAGTGTCTGCGTCTTCAGGTCGCCGGTAACAGAAGAGGTTTGTGCCTTTCAGGATACCATGCACTTGTGTCCCATTCCGTAGCTCCCCTGCTTGCTGCATAAAGGACTTAATGTTTCCTGGGGGAGTCACACCCCCAGCACTCTTCTTCCCAGTCCCCCACTGACAACCAGCCCACTTTGCCCCACCTCCTGTCTGTTACTCCCTTCATCTTGCCATATCCCCTTCCTTCACCCAAATCTTCATTTGCCAGTAGGCCTGTTATTCCCAAGTGCTCCAGGTCTCTTCTGCTTCCTCCCACTCCTCAGGGCCCTCTCACCTGCACCCTGAGGGTACCACTTGCAGTGGGCTGAGTCATGCAGAGAGGCTGAGCTGCCAGGCGGCAACACACGCTACCATAAAGGGGCAGCCAAGCAGGGTTCTCTTCTAAGGGAGGAGGAAGTGCAGGGTGAGGTGGGAATGAGAAGGGGACTATCCCACAGCCCCTCTTGCCAGTGTCCCCAACACACACACATACCGTGACTGGCAAGGGTGAGATCGTGTGTGCGGAACCCATCTTGCACTGCTGCCAAGGTGAGCGTGGTGTGAGCCAAGAGGTGGTAACGAGGACCCCTGGAGGAGAGAGGAGTGGGCAACAGCTTAGTAAAGCGTGTGCTCAACAGCAGGAGCAGGACTGAGCAGTCCTGTCCTGTTGTTTGGCTACCCGATAGAATCCTAGCTTCCCTCCCTGCCAGGGGTTAGGAATGAACATTCACTGACCTCTTGCTAAGTAGCAGGACCTACTCTTTAGGTATGTTATCCCATTGTATTTGCTTGACAGCCTGTGAGGTTGGTGGCATTCTTCAATCAATAGATAAGACAGCATTAGGCTTAGAATTTGAGAAACTCGCCCTAATTTATGGCTCCTCAGAGTCATAAATTCTACAAGGTACTTCCAGGTGTGTGTAGGTCACACCACAAAGCCCAGGCTGCCTTGCTACAACCAAGGAGCTGTTTATCCACATCTAGAAGATGTTTTTGCAGCTGCTAAAAAGTCAAGACCCCAGAACCTAACTCTCCCTGCTTCCTGTGGCCTTGTGGACTGGTTTAGACCAGAATGCCTCCCAGCTGTGTGGCCACTGCTTATTCATGTCCATCTGCACATCCTGGTGGCAGTGCAAGGTAGGTCCTGAATTCTTAAGGTTCAAAGATGACCCGTGGGCTGGACACAGCAACTGAGGGCAGCAGGGGAAAGTGGGTATGGGGCCTTACCCCACAGCTGGGGTGGGGAGCAAGATGGGACTGCTTCCGGAGCCCCCAGCACTGTCCATCGATGCCCGGATACGCCTCCCTGAGGAACGGCCCAGAGAGCTGCTAAGTTTGGTAGCAAGTCTCTTGGGGGCACCAGCCAGGGCCCCTTCTTCTTCCAGACAGGCTCCATACAGCTCTAGCCGAAGTTCAAAGTCTGGCCCTGCCTCAGTGCTACAGAAGGAAGAGGAGGGTGGTCGCATTGTGTTCTGTGGGAAGACAGAACTAGGTGGGGACTAGAGAGCACATACAGGACAGCTCCACAGGGAAGGCCAGGTGCCCATCTCCCGCCTCCTCCCCTACGTCAGAGATTAAAGCAGAGTGGAGAAGGGAAGGAGCCATGGGAGTGAGGTACTCACAAGAGTACATTGTTCTGAAAGGAGATGTCCGTGAGGGTTCTATCCACCAGGATCATCTCTGTGTCCTGAATTTCTTCCCCTAGCTGCAACAGCAGGAACACAGCCCAGCGGTGCAGATCTGGGGATAAAGGGCAAAACTGGTTAAAAAAGAAAAGTGCCCCACAGGAGCCTCTAATCTCCTGGACTATCCCCAGAATTTGTCCAGGGTATAAAACTCACCACCCTTGTTCTTGAAATATTCTGTGTCCTTCCACATGAGTGGGATCCGGAGGTCTAGGGGACAGAGAGATAAGAATAGGTGTTGAGATGGGGCGGTGATCCTATGGCCAGGCAAGGGGTGCCAGCATCTGGGGCAGCTGTACTTCTTACCAGAGATGCAGACCCTGCCACGGCAGGGGGAGCGCTCACTGGGTGGCCCGGTGTCAGAAGGCCTGTTGGTAGATCACAATGTCCTGGCCTGGTCTTTATACACTCTTTCCCCTTTCTCTGATTCCCAAAGGTTTTAGGAGATCCTGGTCCCAGGGGCCTAGTCCCCAGGGCCCAGGCTGATATGGCCAGCTGAGAACTGTGAAGGACAGTTACTTACTGCACTCAGAGTTTTACTTGGTTTGGGGACACTGTGGCCATTTCAGCCATATTAACTCATACGTGCAGTGTACAAGCTAAGGATTCCTCCTCCTCCAAATACCCTCTTGGACCATGACTCCAGACTCCTGCCATGGACCAATGGGACTGTGAGAAGACTGGTACCTACAGGGATTTTTCTCCATTAGACCCTGGGTAAGAGAAGTTTGCAGGCTTTTCTAACGATAGGGATCCTTTCCAGCATCTCATCATTTTTTTTGATGTAAGAGGGCACTAGATCAGTTGAAATCTAATTTGACCAGTGTTTGATGAAATATTAGAAACCAAGTAGGAAATATTTGTGTTCTATTCACCAGAGAAACCTCCACCACCCCTCCCCAAGCTTTGATGGCCCTTTATCCCCCTCCCAGATACACTGCTCCTTCCCAATGACCCAAGTTCCTCAATCCCCCACTATAAGGCCTCACACATGCAGCATCCTCCCCTCCCCCATCATCACTGGGATTCAGTGAGTGTGTGTTTCTCTCCTAAAGTGACGTCAATTTGTCTACACTTACTTATAATAGCACTAAATATAATTTTTTACTTAGGATCTTCATTCAGCTAAATGATGTGACACTGATGGTGATTAACTGCCAGGGACTTGGATGTACCTCACATTACACTTTGGACTATGTGGTGACTTGGGCAGGGCAGCCTGGATAGCCTCCTCCCAGAAGGCAGGGCACTCTGAGTCCCCTGGACTACTTGCCCATCCTCTAGCTGTGAGGGGCAGCTGTGGAGTGAGTTAATACCTTCTGTTGGCTTCATGGGTGAGCTCATGGCAACCTCCCTTTGTGAGTGCCCTCATGGCTATGATAGGCATGATGCCAGTGAGGGGCTGAGACCATCTCCCCACTCTTCCCAGGTGAGGCAAGCAGGCCACTTTGCCAGAAGCCAATTCTCCAAATGACCAATATACCAAAATGACCAAATCTCAAAAATTATCAACTTGCCAAACATTTTCCCTAACCATAGCATCACCTGAGCCATTTCATTTATATCTGTCAAATCAGTAGCATCTAGTGTCAGTGTAGTTTGTGCCCTTTGAGAATGCACATTCTAATTTATGTAAATGGGTAGGCTTTCATTTAAGTGATTTTTTTTTATTTGCTTTCCTAATTCCTGCCTCTAGTGGTGAAGCCCAGGTACAACAAATTTGTGGTAAATTGGCCATTAAACAAATTGGCTACTTAGTGAACTGACTTTAAGAAAATTAGTTTTCCAGAAGCCAGCCAGTCAGACTTATCAGATCACAGGCAGGGCTTAGCACATTAGTGCTTTTGCATTGCTTGCCCAATTCCTCAGATTGTCCACTTCCACCAGACACATCAGCTTTCTGATTCTAGCCCTACTACTCTGGGCAATACATGGCAGTGGTAAAATCCCAAGGTGTGTTCTTGGCCCCTGTCAGGCCTTCATGAGGAGGTCATCTGCAGAGCTGTCCATACTACATACATGCACAGGCTGAAAAACCACCACCCTTATAGCCACCTGCTCCCAGGGAGGCCTCAGCTCTCCCTTGCTCACCGCCTGCCAGTCTTCCCCAGCACCTGGGCCTCCTTTCGCCGCTGCAGTTCTCCCATGTAGCTGAGGATGCGGCTGTTACACACCAGCAGGCTCTTGGTGGCCTCCAGAGCCTGCTCTCGCTGGGAGCAGGCTGCCAGTAGCTTGCAGGCCCCTTCCCTCATCCGGATCTCATGGTCTAGCTTCCTCTGCAACTCTGTGTCCTAGTCAGGGTCAGGGGAAAGGTGAAAAGGAAATGTCAGTCAGGGAGCAGGCTGAAACATCCCCTTGTCCCCAAGAGAGCTGTGGCCCAGGAAAAACTATCAAGAAACTAATTTTTTAAAGAATATAATAGCAAGCAATGGATCTTAGCCTCAGGTGCCCAAGAAGAACTAGAAAAGCTTTGTAAAAATACAGATGATTGGGGTGCAGTGGAATACACATAATCCTAACAACTTGGGAAGCTGAGGAGAATGATCTCAAGTTTGAGGCTTGTGTAGGCAACTTAGCAAGACCCTGTCTCAAAATAAAAACAAAAAGGGTTGGGGATATAACTCAGTAGTAGAGTGCCCCTGGGTCCAATCCCCATACCACAAAAACAAAACAACAGATGTTCTCATGCTTTGATGGGTGGGAGTATAGATCCCTTCTGCTTCTTTTGAATGCAATTTGGAAAAATCTATGAAATCTACCAATCCATGCATCTTTTGATCTAACCAACATCTATTCCTTTACCCTACAGATACAGTTACACATATAATACTAGGCAAGCCATATGTACAAAAAATATTCATTTAGCATTGTTTTATTTATTTAATTGGTTGATTGTGGCACTTTACCCCAATCCCCCTGTCTTTAAAAAAAAAAAACAAAAAACAGTCTTGCTAAGTTGCTGAGGCTGGCTTCAAACTTGTAGTACTCCTGCCTCAGTCTCCTGAATCATGGGATTGTCGGTGTGAGCTATCATGCCAGCTTCAGCATTGTTTCAAATGTCAAAATTGGAGGCCCTTTAATACAGCATTGGTTTGATAAGTTATGGCACATCTATACCATGTGATATTGCAGACATTAAAGAATAAGTAGACATATGTGTACAGATACAAAATAATCTCCAGAAAATATATTGTGAGAAGAGAAACCAGGACAATATTATACTACCATTTGTGCATGGTATATATACATATTTATATATACATTGATATGCATATTTAAACATAAAATATTAGCCAGGAATGGAAAGAGACATGGCATCATTAGGGAAGAGGCATTCCACCCATGCTGCAGAGAACCCCATACACATGTCAAATTAGAGCACCCAACACCATCTGGCCCTGAGCTTGGGAGGTAAGGTCAGCAGCAAGGAATGGGAATGGGGGTATGGGTGTTCCAGGAGTGAAGGGCTGTGCCTAAGGGCCAGAGGGGAGGTGCTGGGAGAGGAACCAGGATTTCCAGGAACATTCCCTCCAAAAGTAGTGCTTCTGGTACTTAATAGGCACTAGACAATTTATTCAGCCTCTCTAAACCATGGTAAAATGAGGATTAAAATAGTTCCTACATCCTAGGGTTGAGGATTCAGTGGGAAAGGACATAAAGCACTTAGCACAATGCCCAGCACACAGTACATGTAGATGGCAAGGATGCTTGTTTTAACAGTGATGCTACTTTGGCAGCAGTGGTATTCACCCAATGAATACTGGGGCATCCCTGTGCTGACCAAGGCTCAACACATAAAACCCAGTTGAGAGATGAGAGATTCAGACATTAAATGGCTGTTCCATAAATGCCATGTCATAACATAACACAAGGAAACAGACTTCATTTGCTTCTGGCTTAAGGTAATCAGAAAGGCTCCAGAGAGGAGATAGAAGACTAACCCGGTCATAGTATGTAAGGTTTCAATACACAAGTGGAGGCACCCGGTTGGAAAAGGGGAATGGATGTGCCTTCCCCAAACCTGTCTTCTCCCTCATACCAGCTCTCTTCTGCACCTTGTGCCCTTGCTTCTGGTTCCAGTCTTCAAGCATCCAAGACCCCCCTAAATTCCTTCTTGCAAATGCCTTGTCCACTCTGCCTGCAAATTCCTCCTTTATATTTTCTGAACCACTGTACTAGGCCAGACTTTCATCACTTCACCCTAGCACCATCTATTTGTTTCCTTTCCAAAATAGGCTGACCCAGTTCCAAAGCCCTCCCAGACTACATAACACTTCCTAGCCTAGCTGTATCCGTCTTCACCAGGGTCCTATCTCTGCTAAGTGTCACTGCTTGCCATCCCCTACCCCACTCCACCCAGCTTCAGTCACAAATTCCCCAAATGGGTAAAAGCAGAGGGGGAGGGGGACGCAGTGATGTTGTCCAGCCCTCTCCTGGCTAGTCCCGGCACTCACGGATCCTTCCCTAGCCCTGTCCATTGCATGTGCAGCGTGGGCCGCGGGGTCAGGGAGCAGCACCAGCTCTGGGAGCCCGCAGGGCGGAGGGATGCAAGGAATCCGTGGGGCCCGGGCTCCGGCGCAGCTGAGCTCTTGCCTGCTGCGCTTGGGGCGCCGGTGACATCAGCTCCCAATTGCCGCGAGAGCCGCTGTGGGGCGCCAGGCACAGGCCATCCTTCCAGGAACCTGGCGGGTCTAGGTCTGGGCATTGCAACCTCGGACACCCTGCTGCAACGGAACCTCAAGGTTACCCTTATTGCTCCAGAAAGGCCTCTAGGCCCTTTGGGAGGCCCCTCCCAGGGTTGTGTAGCCTTTTCCTGGGGGAAGTGTAGCGGGTGTTTAATATAAAGTGGGGAAACTGGGTCCTAGAGAGTTCCCTAGGCCCTGCATGGATAAACAGTGCTGGGGACCTAGACATCTCCCCTATATGTCCAACCACCCTCCAGCCCCAAATCACTCTCCCAGGGCTGCAGCCAAGAGTGCCTTTGAAAACTGGCTCCCAGGTTTTTTGGGTAGAGCATCCTTGTACTGTGCCCCCATCTCCCCATGCCAGGTTTTTGGGTAGAGCATCCTTATACTGTGCTCCATCCCCACCCACACACACTCTGTCCCCAAGTAGGCAGTATTTTCCCCACACTCTCCTGGGAAAGAGCCCAGGGTTGAGTGTCAGTATGGACCTGGGTCAGCTCCCAGGGGGCTGAAGGAGGATGAGTCACCAGCAGAAGCCCCAGTACACATTAGGCCTTCTGTGAACATCCCTTCCCACCCCTCCAGCTGTCTTCTGCCCCTGACTTCCTGCTCTGCTTCTCACCACCTTTTGTTCCTTTCAAAATCCCCACCAGGGCCTCCAGTTCAAATACTGGTTGAGGGACTTGACAAGCTGTGAGCATTTAATATCTGGAATCTCCATTATTATTTTTTATTATTTATTTGCTGTACCAGGGATTGAACTCAGGGGAAATGTACCACTGAGCTACCCCTACAACCCCTTTTATTTTTAACTTTTATTTTTTGGGGCACCAGGGATTGAACTCAGAGGCATTTGACCCCTGAGCCATATCCCCAACCCTATTTTGTAATTTATTTAAAGACAGGGTCTCACTGAGTTGCTTAGCACCTGGCTTTTCCTGAGGCTGGCTTTGAACTCATGATCCTCCTGCCTCAGCTTTCCATGTCACTAGGATTATAGGAATGGGTCTGTGTTCATAGACTGGGGAGAGTGTTCCACCTCCTCCACAATTATTTGAGGATTAAATGGGAAAGTCTAACTGCTAGCTCAGCCTAGAATATATTTAAAAATAAGCTTTCTCTCATGCTCACCTCTCCTTTACTTGCAGCTTAAGCCACCTCCTCCAGAAAGCCTTCTTGGACTTAGTCTTCCAGGACTATCTTTCTTGCCATTCCCTGAAATATCAATGGGTGTTGTTTCTGTCTTTTGGGAACCCACTTAACTTGGTGGAGAAAGAAAATAGCAAGCTCAGTTTATGGCTCAAGGAGAGTTGACCAAAGTGAAAATTAAGCCCTTCCTGTGTCCCATGTCTCCCAAAGAGAAAAATGACAAGGTTGTGGGAAGGGGTGCATGACAACTCTGTTCAATAAAACTTGTGATGCTGGAAATGTTCAATAGCCATCTAGCACTTGAAATGTGGCTAGAACAACTGAGAAACTAAATATTTTATTTTATGTTAATTAACCAAAATTAAGATTGAAATATCCATCTATATGTTGTAGTATGAACAATGCAGAGGACTAAGAATGGCAAAAAGCTTTTATTTTTTATCAGAACTGGATATTGTACTCAGGGGCTCTACCACCAAGCCCTTTTTATTTTTATTTAATTTTTTAAATTCTTATTTTTGGTACTAGGGAATGATCCAGGGGCACTTTACCACAGAGCTACATCCCCAGTCTTTTTTATTTTGATTTTGAGATAGGGTCTCACTCAGTTGCAGAGGCTGGTCTCAAACTTGTGATCCTCCTGCATCAGCCTCCCTGGTTGCTGAGATTTCAGGTGTGTGTTACTACACCCAGCTGACAAAAAGATTTTATCTCACTTGCCAACACAGGACCAATTAGGTAATGTTAGAATCCCAAAGGGTTCATTTGGCACCTTTCCTCAAAACAAAGAAAGGTGACTCTCTCCAGGCAAACAAATTAAAGTGTCTCCTCCTGATCAGCTGAAACCAGACCAGGAATTCTGCCTCTGGCTGGCACGTGTGAAAGACAGTCTGCACAATTTATGCCAAGTCTGTACTAAAGAAGATTCTGCAGTCACGACTAGAATCATTAGTAAAGAGTGCCATGATTGACTAGAAATGTCCACTGTGATCCAGGGAGTATGGACGCAGGCTGACTAGCAGCGTACATGCAATAAGTTGACATTCTTGATGGAGACTCTATACTCCTGCCTCTAATCTTCCTCAGCAGCAACTCCTTGCCTGGTCCAGGCAGTCACTTCCACAACTTTCTCCACCTGCCCTATCTCAGAGAAAGGCCACCATACCCAGTTGCTTAGCCACACACCTGGGAATCATTCTTGGCATTCTGTCTTACTCCTCTTATACAATCATCAGCAAGCTCTGTTAGATCTACCACCTCCTTCCTCCTTTTTCTACCATGAGCACATTAATCTACACCAGCAGGCTCATCCCCCTCTGACAGCAATGTGAACATCCACTTGGTAGTCTTTTGCCACCTCTCTTTTCAACCCTCCTCACCAGACCTCCCCCCACCCACCACCACCCAGTTTATTATCTACAACAGCGATTCACAGCAGATGAGGCTGGCTATGGTGGTGCATGCCTGCAATTAATCCCAGCAACTGAGGTTAGGGTTAGGCTGAGGCAGGAGTATCCCAAGTTCGAGGCCAGTTTGGGCAACTTAGCAAGACCCTGTCTCAAAATAAAAAAATAGAGCACTCTTGGGTTCACTTCCCAGTATGGGGGATGGTGAGATGAGTTGTTCCTCTGCTTTAAATCCTTCCATAGACCAACATCATACCAAGAGTACAATCTAAGTGCCTTGTCATAGCCCTCAAGTCTTGAATGATCTAGCTCTTTCCCATTAGCTTCACTTCAACTACTATATTCCAGCCACAATGAATTGCTTTCTTTCCTACAAACTTATTACCCTCATCCTTGTCTAAGAGCCTTTGCCCTTGCTATACCCTCTGGAAAAACCTTCCTCCAATCTTCACCTCTTCAAATCCTCCCACACCTCCACACTTAATGCTACCTCCCCCATCTGATTTTGATTGCGCTCCCTTGTCTTCAGCATATTGTCACTATGATATTATCTGTGTGTTTGCATGATTATTATCTGTTCTTCCACTAGAATGGACCTTTCCTGTCTTGTTTGTCCTTGGTCTAGAAAGGAGCTTGACATACTGTATATGTTTAATAAATGTGTTTAAGAATGAATAAATAGGACTGGGTTTGTGGCTCAGTGGTGGAGCACTCGCCTAGCACATGCGGGGCCCTGGGTTGGATCCTCAGCACCACATAAAAATAAATTAAAGATATTGGTCCATCTAAAACTAAAAAATAAAATATTTTTAAAAAAGAATGAATAAATATCTCTCTACCATCTCCAGGGCCAGCAGAATCTTTATCCTGGCCCAATATCTCTATTTTCTTCTCAACTGAGCTACATCTTTTCTGCAAACCGCTCTCAGTTGAACCCTCCCCATTCCATACATGAAAGGCCTTGCCCCCCATAACTGCCACCTACACCAATCCACAGAGCTTCCAAAAATAGGTGTGAAGACCCCCACTATCAACAGGATGTTCTGTCAGCAGAAGTGGGTCTGGGCCCACACACTGCACCCAACAAAAGGCAAAAAGAATCACTTGTCCCTCTCCCCACTTAAAAAGCAGGCCATGCCCTCCCCCACTCAGCCCCAGCAGGAATGAGCAAGACCCCAGAGGGTCTGGGATGCAAACAGAGGAAATATGTTCTTCAGGAGTAGGGGCATTACCTCCAGGCTGAGTGCCATCTGCCGAATGTAGAGCATATTCAGGTCCTCCAGGATGTGCAATCTGTCCTGCATCTCTGTGCCCCCCTGAGCCTTTCCCTTGTCAGCCCCTCGGTGGGGGGTGGGGCAGGTAGGCACCAGTCCCACAGTCCTCCCACTGCTCCCTGGTCTTGAGAAAGGTGGCCAGCTCTTGGACAGAGGGCAGAAGCTTCCCCTGTCCTTCTGCACTGTTAGACCCCCTCTGGCTGCAGTGACAAATTTTCCTCACCTACTCCTGTTTCAAAACCCTGGTGGGAGCCAGGAAGGGGAGGAAAGGAAAGTGAGGTGAGGATTAGCAGGGTCCTGGGAGTGGAAGCCAGCTGCAGAGTGGGCTCTGGGCACAGAGTGTCCAGTCTTGCTTTGGTGGCAGCTGTTCACCCAGCTGTGGAAGAAAAAGGCCCTTTCATTCCCATTATGGCCCCTCCCCAGCCCCCGCCCACATCCCTGGCCTGGTGGACAGAGAATCTATGTGTGGAGAGGGCAATGAGGGGCAGGCACAGCTGGAAGGGGGGTAGGGAGGGGACGCCTCCTGCAGGTTCCACAGAGTCCTAGGGTTTGTCAGGAGGTTGGAGCTCTCACAGAGGGCTTCTGACTTAGTTTGACAAAGTTAGGAGAAACAGCAAGCAAAGTGGGTACTTGAGGGGAGATGAACCAAGGGACTGGGACAAAGCGGTGAGTCGGTAATGCGGCCCAGATCCCAGGGCCACCCTTTCCAACTCGGGCCCCCATCCAGCCCGCCCCACCCTGGGCTCACAATTACCTCGCTTTTCCAGCAGAAGGGAGGAAAGAAAGGGAGAAAAGCAGGGGTGTGCCTGTCTGCTGCTGCCCCCGCTCCCCTCTGCGGGCCCCTTCCCTTCCAGACAGGAAACCAGCCCCGAGTCCCAGCCAGCTGCAGTGCTGTCCCCCCCCCCTCCACCCCTGGCCCACGGAGTCACACTCTCCTGGGCGGCCAGCCTGGCCCTGTGGCTCCGCCCCGGCTGCTCGGCGCTGGCCCCTGAAGGCCGGGCGAACCCAGGGGCGGCCGGCTCACAGGCCCCTCCTCCTGGTCCCCGGCCTCGCCCCTTACTCCTCCACGCTGGCTCCACGCGGGTTCCTTAAGCAGAGTTGCTGCTGGGGCGGAGGGGGGGGGGCGACAAAAGCCCTCTCCCCCATCCCACTAGCTTCTGACTCCGAGAAGGCCTGGGACACCGGGACACCGGTGTGAAAGGGCCTTTGTTCTGGGCAGCCTGGACGGAAAGGGCAGAAGCCAGGCCTGGAATCCCAGTCGGGAGGGAGAGGGGGCCCGGAGGAAGGCCCACCTCACTTAACCCTTTCCAGGCCCGGGAGGGAAAGACAGCTTGGAACTGGTCTCTCCTTGGGTGAGTGAGGTTGACCTTGAGGACAAAAGTGTCTTGGAGTTGGCTGCGCGCCCTCTCAGTCCTGGCTCAGCCTCACTCCTCCAGCCCCTCCCCAGGTTCTTTGGGGCAATTGCAGGTGGCACGCAGAAGCCCGCAATGTTTAGACCAGTGGCCCTGGGGTAGGTAGACACTCTCAACCTAGAGGCAGATCTACTCTTAGGCCCCAGGAAAGAAGGCGGAAAGTTGGGTGTGGCAAATAATCCCAAAGAGTTAAAAAAGACACCTCCCCACAAGCTCTCTAGCAGGGCCACATAGGAGCCGTTTGGGGAGGACTCCAGCTAAGCCGCAGACCTGAACTGATGACAGAGGCTGGCCCAGAGGGTTGAGACGGGGTTTGGGATAGGGCTGGCGATCGGGGGAACACCGACAGCCAAAAGAACGAGAGTTTGGGGTCCACCTGGCTGCCCACCGCCCTTGGCCCAGAGATGCCAGGCACATCTTGGGAATCGAGCCTGGGGTCCTTCTAACTGAGGTCAATCGAAGTTTTTCCAGGCAAAGGCAGATTGTCCCAAACCAGGCCAGGGAATGAGTAGGGCAGTATGGATCCGACCCACCACTGCGCAGATGGTCCGCATCTTACTTTGTAAGTCCGCAGTTCCCGCCAGCTTGGACCCGGACCGCGGCGTCTCCGCCCCTCCGCATGCACGGGCGAGGGCGGGAGGCAGAGGCGCCCAGGGCTGCGTGCTGGTGCCCGGGAAGGGCAAGGAAGGGACTCTGTCTCTCACCTCGGGCTGGTCGCTGAAGAGGCTAAGTCGGAAGCGGCCGCGTTTGAACTCCATCTCCAGGGCGGAGCCCCTGGCCACTGTGACCCGGCTCCGGTGATTTCGGGTAAACATGCTGGTAGCTCCGCGCCTTTGCCTGCCCAGGGTGCTCCCTGCGCTCTCCCGCTCTCGTCTGCTTCTGTCCCTCGATGCCCGCGCGCCGGTCAGACCGGGAATCTCCAGCTGCCTGGTTCCCAAACCCCGCCCCGGAGACGACACCTGGGCCGGGCTGGGCGCGGCACCCTACTCTCCCACCCCCGCCAAAGGCTTGGCCCGTCGGGCCAGTACGGGTGCCAGGCGAGCCTGGCCAGACAACCCCACAAACAAGGACACCCTACACTTCACGAGCACCGCGTGGGCGCATCCTCCCTTCCGGCCCGGGTCTCAGGCGCCTCACCTGGCAATGGGAGGACCCAAAGAAGCCCCGCCCCCATCCGCTCCCACCTGTCAAGCCCGAACCTTTAAGCGCGGAAAATCCCGTGGTCACATGGTTCGTCTTGTTGAACACTCCGTGTGCACACTGCACACTCCTCTGAAGCCAGGGCGGGGTCCGCCCAATCTCACCCCAAGCAGCCATTTCAACTTTCCACAGTCCCAAATATCCCTTGTCTTCCTCAACCCTTAGGCTCCCCTCCACAGCTATCCGTCCATTCCCAGGGGCCACCATTCACAAAGGGGTGCTTATATATGCCTTAGAACTCCAGTTTCTTCACTAACTAGCCAGGGATACTTGGTCCAATCATTGAACTTTCTGAAGTTAAGTTTTCTCATCTATTCAATTGGGATATATAATTATCCCTACTATGGCAAGTTGCTGTGAGGATTATATATGAGAACGAGTGTAAAATGCCCAGCATAATGCCTGGCACAAGGCAAGTAACCCAGAAGTAGAGCTATGAAGATGAAGGAACAAGTGCAACACCTTTATGCCCCTGGATGTGCCCTACTAGCCTCAGCATACTGATTCCAAACTTAATGTTGTTTGAGAGCATGACGACTTCCATGACCTCAATATTGACCATGTAGCTTTGCTGGGTGCTGAGACAGGGTTCCTTCTGCAGAAACAGGATTCCTTTCTTTCCCTCAGAATGCCAAAAGGGACAGAAGGAAATGGCAGAGTATTAACTTTCAGACCACATATGAAGTGTCTCCTGGAGGCTTTGGAACTTACTGGGGAGAACTTGAGAGAAGGTAAGACTCCTTCATGGCTGATGGGCTGGAACCAGAGCCATACCAGTCTTTAGCTCTTAGGGAGTCTGTGCTATAGAAAATTACTCAATATTCTTTTGGAAAGTCAGACTTAAAATTACTTAGCAAAGAAGGAAAATTACTGGCTTATGGAATTTAATTGTTCAGGGGCTTTAGGTGTGGCTCCATCCAGGCACTGGGTGTCACAAGGATGCAGTCTCTCTTCATCACTTAGTTCTTCCAACTTCCTTCATGTTGGCCTTATACTCCACAGGATAACCAAATTGCTACCAAAAAGTTTGGGTCTGCATCAGGCTTAAATTTAGTTGAAAAGATGACATCTGTTTCACAAGGCTCGGGTACATATTTGGGATTCACAGTGAGCCATTTGGAATCATTTAACCATCCCAAACCAATTACTGTAGCCAGAGGGTTGACTGAACCTGAGCCAATTGTTGTAGCTAAGAGTGTTCTGTGTTTCAGTCTGCCAATCCTAATTCACAACACTTGTGCAATCCTGGATTCAATTCTCCGGCACCTCCTAGTTGGAACCCAGTAAGCTGGGAGTGTGAGAGAAGGAGAGGAAGAGGTTAATCCCTAAAGAATGTTCCAGATACTATTACCAAAAGGTGAGGGAAAGGATGATGGACATCAACAAACATCCTCTATGCATAAAAATTTACATGAAGAATGGACTTCTAGTAAGTAGAAAAATAAATCTTTTTTGTTTGTTTGTTTGTTTGTTTGAGGGATTGAACCCTGGGAAACTTAACCACCAAGTCCCATCCCATCTCTTTTTTTATATTTTATATTTTGTTAGAGACAGGGTCTTGCTAAGTTGATTAGGGCCTCGCTAAGTTGCTGGGGCTGGCTTTGAACTTACAATCCTCCTGCCTCAGCCTCCTGACTTGCTGGGATCACAGGCATACACCACTGTGCTGGACAGGAAAAGAAATTTTTTTTTTTTTTTAAAGAGAGGGAGAATTTTTTTTAATATATATTTATTTATTTTTTAGTTCTCGGCGAACACAACATCTTTGCTGGTATGTGGTGCTGAGGATCGAACCTGGGGCCGCAGGCATGCCAGACGAGCGTGCTACCGCTTGAGCCACATCCCCAGCCCGAAAAGAAATTTTTTAAAAGTGTATTTCTAAAAAGCCCATGGCACCTGAGGTAAACCTCAAAGGATTCGTGAAGGGAAAGAAGAAAACATTTTTTCTTAATTTCTTCAAATATCAACTATCACTCCTTTAAGCTGTAAGCTCAGCAGGGAAGGACAGTCTGTTGTCCAGTTTTATCCCCAGTGCCTGGCATACATCAAGTGCTCAATAAACATCTGTTGAAGTAAATAAAAGAAGCAAGCAGATTTGAGAATGTTTGACTAAGAGCTATTTTGTTGGATTAAAACAATTATTTTCAAATGTTTGTTTTTCAGCAAAAGAGACTTTTTCTCCCCAAGTGAAATCTTACCCAGAATATGTGAGATTGATTTGAATCAGTGCCACTTGTGGAAGCACTAGCTGAAGGCTCATACCATGTGCTCTCCACAGGCCCTTGGCAGCCCCCTTCCATTAAGGAGCATGGCACTGTGACCCTGGTCTACCAGGCACAGCAACAGCATGCTCTAGAATCCCAGCTACTCCCGAGACTGAAGCAGGAAGATGGAGATCCAGGCCAACCTGGGCAATTTATCAGGACTCCATCTTAAAAAAGCCAGGTGTGGTAATACATGCCTGTAATCTAGCAACTCAGGAGGCTGAGGCAGGAGAATCACAAATTTGAGTCCAGCCTCTGCAACTCAGCAAGACCCTGTCTCAAAATAAAAAATAAAAAGGGCTAGGGACATAGCTGAATGGTAGAGCATCCCTGGTTCAATCCCCAGTATAGGGTGTTGCGTGGATGAATTAAAACAAATTAAAATGAAACAAAACAATCCCTCCAAGCCCCCAAACTGAAAATTCCTGGTTTAAGACCCCAGCAAGGGCTGGGGTTGTAGCTCAGTGGTAGAGTGCTTGCCTAGCATGTGTGAGGCACTGGGTTCAATTCTCAGCATCTCATATAAATAAATGAATAAACTCCTTGAGGGGGCTGGGGTTGTAGCTCAGTGGTAGAGTGCTTGCCTAGCATGTGTGAGGCACTGGGTTCAATTCTCAGCATCTCATATAAATAAATGAATAAAATAAAGATCCACTGAAAAATTATATATATATAATTTTTAAAAAAATATCCAGGCAAAAGGTAAAATAAAAAATATTTAGAAAGAAGGTTGAGTTGAAATCTTACCTGAGTTTGTACTCATTGGGCTGAAGATTTTGAAAAGGAGAGACACAGAACTATATTTTAGAGATCATAACTTGACAGCCTTTTGCTAAAGCAGTTGGAGGAGTTGCAACAGTGAAGCCAGCTGACATTACTCTCTACCAAGAGAGGAGAAGGAAGGACCAAAATGTCTTTAGATTTATTTATCTATTTTTGTGGTACTGAGAATTAAACCCAGAGCCTGTGCATGCTAGACAAATGCTTTACCACTGAGTTTACCTCAATCCTTTCTATTTTTGATTTTGAGACATGGTTTCATTGAATTGTTGAGGCCATCTTCAAATTTGTAATCTTCCTGCCTCAGCCTCCCAAGTTGCTGGGATTACAGGAGTGATTACAGGTGTCCGCTGCACCCAATTTTATCTTTATTTTTTGCAGGATTAGGGATTGAAACCAGGGCCTAGCCAGGATAGGCAAGTGTTTTACCACTAAGCTGCATCCCCAGCCCTTCTATGGGTTAATTTTTAAATTAAGTTTTATTTGAAAAATATTTGAAAATATGTATACATATTTATAAAAAAACTAATGCTATTTTTTAAATACTAGAAAGCAGAAATAAATAAATAAGATTATATCTTCCTCTCTCCCTAATTCATTTCCTGAGGAAATCACTGAGTGAGTTTGATTCAGTAATGTTTCAAAATATACTTGTTTATAAGAGACAATGGGTGAATTTTTCAGAATTGTGCATGTCAGTTAACACTGCTTTAATTAAAAATTCAATGATGGGCTGGGGATGTGGCTCAAGTGGTGGCCCGCTCGCCTGGCATGCGTGCAGCCCGGGTTTGATCCTCAGCACCACATACAAACATAGATGTGTCCGCCGAAAACTAGAGAATAAACATTAAAAAAATTCTCTCTCTCTCTCCCTCTCTCTCTCTCTCTCTCTCTCTCTCTCTCTCTCATACACACACACACACACACACACACACTCTCTCTCTCTCTCTCTCTCTCTCTCTCTCTCTTAAAAAAATTCAATGACATAAATTTACAACTAAATAAATTATATTAAGGCAAAGATGATAAATACTAAAAACTCATCACTTCCTGATCATTTTAGTACATTTTGCTGTTATCTCTTGAGGCCATTTTCATGTATAGGATCTGTATGGTGAAAATGCTATCTATTGAGGTGCTATTGCACATCTCTTCCCAACTGTGTTCAGTGATGTCACATTTGAAACTCCATCCTGGGAATAGCACACAACGGAAATAGGTGAACATTACAAACCAGTGCTGTTTTGTTCTGGGGAGCTTTGTTAAACATTTACCAGGATGCCCCTGATCTGGTGCATAGCCTTGCCAACTTTCCCCTTTGTTTATGCCTGTAAGTATATGTCCCTGACTAGGAAGTAGATATTTGAGGAAGGTATTGTGAGCCACAAAGGATAAAAATCATCTTCCTATTTCTGCAGTCTCCCACAGGACAATACTGGAAGGATTGGGAAACATTTACATTCCCTCTTACCTCTTCACAGTCCAGGCACTTGGCCTAAGTCAAACAACTGGAATGTTCCCAACTGGACTTTGAATCTTGGAGTACAGACGAGACCTAGAGAGAGTTTGTGATATGTTCACTGTGCCTGCAGCCCCTGAGGAGTGGGTGGTGGTACCAGCAGGAAATCCTCACCAAAAAGTTCCTGTGGCATGAATTCAGGGAGACCTTGGCATAACCTCAGTCAAATGTTCCTGTTTTCTAGCCTGCCTTGGTTCTCAGTGCTTATCTGGGAAAAGTACAAGATGAGCCCAAACATTTTGTAGTGTCTGAAAGTTAAAAAAAAAAAAAAAAACCTCAGAAAATGATAGAGATATATCAAGAGGAAACAGAAGCAAGCCCAAAGGAATGCCAACTGATCAAATATGGGACACACAGGAGCATCAAAATGATAGCAAAGGCCCAGAGCAGTGGAGCATGCCTACAATCCCAGCTACTGGGAGGCTGAGGCAAAGGGATGGTAAGTTTGAGGCCAGCCAGGGCAACTTATTTTATAAAAATAAAAAGGGCTGGGGGTATAATTCAGTGGTAGAGCTCACTCAAGTTCAATCCCTTGTATTGCACACTTGCACATGTGCACGCACACACACACACACACACACACACACACACACACACAAAATCAATGGATTCAACCCATTGATTGAAAGAAACAGGAATCTATACAGGTATAAATAAATATATGTAAATAAATATAAGGACACATCTCTTCTTTAAAGCTGAATGCCAACTAATAGATATAAATACAATAATAAATATAGGTCACCATTTGGCAATTATTACAGCACATAATAATGTACCAATGGATAGAGGTTCAATGGAGAACAGGATACTAAGGTAGTTTCAGAATGTTTCCCCTGAGAATACTTGTTATTTACAAAGATAAAAAGGGTGACTTATAGTGGAAGAAACTGGCAGACACTATCTTGACCAAGGTTATCATCTGTGGTAGGATGGGTTGACATCATATGTCTCCTGATAAAAGACACTGGGAAGACCACAGCATAATTTTTGTGTGCATGGTATATCTGCTACAAATTTATAAGTCTGGAGCCAAGGGCACACCAGACAGACCCAGGCTAAGGAACATCCTACAAAATCAAACACCATACTCTAAAATTATAATGGTCATGAAAGACACGATAGGAATAAAGAAGTGTTCTGTATTGAAACTGATTAAAGAGATGTGATAAATAAATGTAATAGATGATCCTGAGTTTGGACTTGGACTGGAAAGGAAAAGGAGATATTGCACATTTGTGAAGTTTGAATGGAATCTGTGAATTGGATGGTGGTGGTGTTTCAAGATTAATTTCCTGGTTGGTAAGGTTGCATGAAAATTATAGAATAATGAACTTGTTTGGAGGATATACATTCTGAAATAATTAGGAATGAAATAGCATCATGTTTGAGATTTGCTGTCAAATTGATCAGGAAAAAAATGAGAACCAAAACGAGCATAGGTAAATATTAATAATTGCAGAACCTAGCATACGAAGATAAGAGTTCTCTGTATTCTTCTTACATTTTTTCTATAAATTGGAAATATTTAAAAATAAATTAACTTTTAAAAATAAAGGCAAGAGGGCTGGGGATGTGGCTCAAGCGGTAGCACGCTCACCTGGCATGCGTGCGGCCCAGGTTCGATCCTCAGCACCACATACAAAGAAAGATGTTGTATCTGCCAAAAACTAAAAAATAAATATTAAAAACTCTCTCTCTCTCTCAAAAAATAAATAAATAAATAAATAAATAAAGGCAAGAGCCAGGTGCAGTGGTGCACACCTGCAATCTTGGGAGGCTGAGGCAAGAGGATCACAAGTTCTAGGCCAGCCTCTGCAGTGTAGCAAGGTCCTGTTTCAAAATAAAAAATAATGGGGCTGGGGTTGTGGCTCAGCAGTAGAGCGCTCATCTAACATGTGCAAGGCCCTGGATTCAATCCTCAGCACCACATAAAAATAAATAAATAAAATAAAGGTATTGTGTCCAACTATAACTAAAAAATAAAATATTAAAAAAATAAAAAGGGATAGGGATAGGGGTGTAGCTAAGTAATAGAGCACTTGCCTAGCACCAGAAAAGCCGTGGGTTCATACCTAGTATCCCCACACACAACAAAAGGAGGCAGAGGAGGAGGAGTAAGAGGAAAAAAGAAAGGGCTAAGAACTCTTTCAGAAGGAATTCTCAGCCCCTAAACATGTTTAAATCCCTCCTACTATAAACAAACAAACCAAAAAGACCCTAAAAACAAAATAATGAAGTCAGTCATCACTTACTGTGGCTACTTCCTCTCTGCTGGACATCAGGATGTAGCTGAAACGTGGCCAGGAACCAGGCCAGTGTCAGGAAGTCTGTTTGAGACTGGCTCTGTTATTCCCTAACTGGGTGACTTATGCCAAGACATTTCATCTCTCTAAGCCTCAGTTTCCTCATTTTTTTTCATATGTAATGGAGTATAATTTCTCGTTCTTCTGATTGGACATTATGTAGAATCACACTGGTCATATAGTTACATGTACATGGGGTAATAATGTCTGATTCATTCTACTATCCTTCGTAC